TAACATGAAGCAGAGAGCCCTCAGCTCACACAGAAGCAGAATACGTACTGGTCCGCTTTTCAGCACGAGGTGTACTGCCTGTACACCAACGAAGGGAATCTGAATACCTGGTGGCATGTGAGGTGGCATTAGTGCTATATTTGTAGAAACTAAGTAAACATAAAAATGACAATTATTAACTCTAGGGGAGAAAACGAAAGTGCTTTAAAAAAACGGACAAGGAAAGTCCGCTGCTCACTCTGTTGTGAAGCATGTTTACAGTGTAAAAAAAGTATAGACACTGAAGATTGCTTTCACCAAAAGTATGGTGTGTCGGGAGTATGCACTGGTGAGAGAGGGGTAACTGTGTGGTGTGTGACAGGGAAAGCAGAGAAGCTAAGTTATCCTCCTCCAGAGGGAGAAATGAGTAAATAATGCCTAAAACCAAATAGACGGGCACCAATGCTTGTGTAGGATTAGAGACAGAGGTAGATACTCAAGGTGTTGCAAAGCGCTGGGAGTGGTACTCTGTGATAGAGTGCGCGCCAGCATGCATGAATCCCTTGAGTTTGATTCCCAGAACGGGGCAGAGAAAGGAGGGCAGAGGGAGTAGCTAAGCACATTAAAATTGGTTGCATTTTCAGGTATTAGTTACAGCAACAGGCACTCTGGAAAGCGCTTAAATTTTTTTATGTGGTGAATATTTTGTTTGCATGTATGTAAGCACACCTATGTGTGCAGTGGCCACAGAGGCCAGAAGAGGGCATTGGATCCCCTAGAACTGGAGTTACAGAAGGTTGTTAGCTGCCATGTGGGTGCTGAGAACTGCATCCAGATCCTCTGCAAGAACAGCCAGTGCTCTTAACTGCTGAGCCATCTCTCCAGTCCCTCCATAAGTAACTTTAATAAAAACTAAAGATCAAATGGTTATGTCAGTGGAACAGGACTGTCTTTGGGCTATGAAATTCTTTTTGTGGAAGGCAGTGGAGGGGTGTGCACACACAGTGGGAGGAAGCTGGTCATATGTGTCTTGATTGTTGAATATTTGAATGTGTTTCTTTTGTGAAAGCTTGCCAAACTGTATACATATAACTTGCGTGCTCTCACGAACCCCTTTTAAGAGTCTTACTATGTAGCCCTGGCTCACCTTGAATTTTCAGCAGTCCTCCTGCATCAGCCTCCTGAGTGCTGGGATTACAGAGTATGTTTCTATGCCTGGTTTAGAAAGACCTTTTTCTTTTTTTTTTTTTTTTTTTAACTTCAATAAAAAAATTTACAGGGCTGGAGAGATAGTTCAGAGGTTAAGAGCACTAGCTGCTCTTGCAGAGGATCCAGGTCTGATTCCCAGCACCCACATGGAGGCTACTAATCATCTGTAACTCCAGTTCCAGGTGATCTGACACCCTCTTCTGACCTCCAATGCACTTACACACATGCAGGCAATACACACATACACAAAATAAAAATAATAAAATATATTTTTTTAAATTTTTAATTGTATGTGTATGCGTGTATTGCCTGCATGTAGGTAAGTGCACCCGTGTCGTGCAATGCCTGTGGAGGTCAGAAGAGGCTGTCGGATCCCCTGGGACTGGAGTTATAGACAGTTGATAGATGCCATGTGGGTGTTGGGATTTGAACCCGGGTCTTCTGCAATAATAACCAGTGTTCTTAACCACTGAGCCATCTCTCCAGCCCCAAAATAATAAAATTTAAAAAAATATATATTTTATTTACTACCTTTATTTTATGTGTATGAGTGTATTGCCTGCACGTGTGTGAGTGCACCCATGTCATGCAATGCCGCAGAGGTCAGAAGAGGGCTTCGGATACCCCTGGAACTGGAGTTAAGGACAGTTTGTAGCTGCCATGTGGGTGCTGGGAACCGAACCTGGGTCCTCTGCAAGAGCAGTCAATGCTCTTAACCGCTGAGCCATCTCTCCAGCCCCAATAAAATATTTTTAAAAATAAAAAATGTTATTCTTTATCCAACAAATATGTACCAGGAGGTATTGCACTTTCAGCAACTTTGTGTATAAATTGTGCACTTCATAATAATGTTCTAGAGAATAAGAATTCAAGTCTCTGGCTGCCCCGTTGTTGGGAATCTTTTTTTGGCTTCCTTTGCTTTTAGAATTTCTGAGCATGCCCAAAGGCTTTTATAATTTCATAGCCCAAAGACAGTCTTGGTCCACTGACATAAATCATTTGATCTTTAGCACTATCCCCAGCACTATCCCCAGCATAGTCATGAGGGTGAGCAGGACAGGTGCTCAGAAAAGGTAACACCCAATGACCTTTCTGCATCCTGTTTCTATGCTGACAGCTCCTAGGCTTTTCACTGTGTCCTTACCATCCACCAAGAGTAACAGATCCTGTGAGCCACCTTAAAATACTGTTAAGCGCATATTTAGAGAAATTACCGTGTTCCAGCTCTGTCCAGCTGGCTCCCTCCCAGAGACCCCCACGTCCAATAAAGACTGAAAGCGTTGGAGGACAAGAGGTGAAAATCTCAACGTCCCTGATCCAGCTCAAAGGCCAGGAGACCCTCCCCACCCAGGTGTCAGCCCTGCTTGTCTCTTCCCGTAAACCCCAGACCCCATCATCCTACTGATCCTTGTAAGCGCTGCAGGAGCACACAGCTGCGTATCGTTGCCTCCTCTGTTCTGACGCAGAGCTGTTTTCTCATTTCTCAAACTTTAACCTTCTTCACGTACTTCAAAGGCCTACTAAACTATTTCAACTAAATCTAAATATGAGCCTCCTTCTCCCTTCATGACTGCCAGTTTATTTCCAGACACAGAAAGTTTCCAGCAATCTCCAAATAAGCTCCTCTATCCTCAGAAAGATCCTGGTTTCAGTATGGTTGCCCACTGCAAGTGAAAGGACAGAACCTCGGAAGTAGGAGGGGACACGAGCTAGCCCTGCTGGTGTGATTCAGGACATACCTTTCTGGTCTCCCTACCAAGAAAAACTCCTTTTTTCTGCAGTGCAGGGTGTTTATCTTAGGCATTTCCTATCTGGTCATGTTCTTCTCTCTGTCTCACTGGGCAGGAAGCTCAGAGCTGGGGTTTTTATGACTCTAGTTTGGTTAGGAAGTAGGAACTTGGGGTGTGCTGATTTTCTTTTGTCTTACTTTCTTCCTTTACAAAGTATGTCACACAGTGTTGTGTTCATTTTCATAAGTCATAAAATTCATCTGAAGACATAAATACTATTAAGCTGCAGGAAGATTCTAACAATTGATAGAACTGCAGATGAACGTAAGAAGACAACTTTGGGAAAAGATAATTGTGCTGGGGTGCTATGATTATGGATAATTTATTTTCCTCTCAAATGTATATTAATATAAAAATTAAGTTTTTAGCATCTTTATTAGAAACATAGATGTTCATGTTAGAAAATATGAAAAAAGGACTAAAAATGCAGAGAGGAAAATCAGTATCATTTTTTATCATCCTCCCCTCTAGATATCAGTGGGTTTTGTTTAAAATATTTTATTTTTTTATTTTCTGTGTGTGAGTATATTGCCTGCATGTATATCAGTGCACCCGTGTTGTGAGGTCAGAAGAGGGTGTTGGATCCCCTGGAACTGGAGTTACAGATGATTGTTAGCCACCACGTGGATCCTGGAAACCAAACTCGGGGCCTCTGCAAGAGCAGCCAGTACTCCTAACCACCGAGTCATCTCTCCAGCCCGTTTGTTTTTTTAAAATTTATTTATTTTTATGTATATGAGTGTTTGCATATTTGTATGTGCACCACATGTGTGTCTGGTGCCTGCAGAGGCCAGAAGAGAGCCTCAGATCCCCTATTTATAGATGGTTGTTAGCCATCATGTGGGTGTTGGGAGTTGAACCCAGGTCCTCTGCAAGAGCAGCCAGGGCTCTTAACCACTGAGCCATCTCTCCATCCCCTAAATATAAATGTTAACTGAGGGTCTCACACATGCTAGGCAGGCAACTAAGCTATAGCCCCAAAACCCAGTCTTTTTAGAGGTGTGTATATCAGTTTGTAAACTGTATATTTTCTTAAGTTATTCTGTCACAGATTCGAGGCCTCTTTGGGTTACAGAAAAAGTTCAAGGCCAGCCGTGGATGTAGATGCATGGGAAAACATTTGCCTGGCTTGTGTAAGGCCCTGCGTTCAATCTCAAACATGCACATGTGCGCGCGCACACACACACACACACACACACACACACAGACGTACATTATCTAATTGGGTGAAGCCTGGTGCCTCTTGCTGTGACAGTTCTCCAAATTGCATACAGGAGAAGCTTCTGCCTCACTCATCTCACATACTTATCCATCCTAGATACATTTCTGGAGTGTCTCCCTTTCTGCTTTATTAAATAAAATCATCTTTTGAAATCTAATCTTTCCTAGTTTCCGAAATGAAAGAAGTTTTAAGGATGAATGGTTGTGATGTTAGGAACTCATGAGTATATTTATAATACATTTAAGATAATTTTTTTGTGTATTTTATCACAATAAAAAAGAATTAGAAAAGCAAAGCAAAACAACTTTTGGTTTTCAGAACCTTTGAGGTTTCAAAATTCTAGATAAGTGATCACAGGCCAATACTTGGATGAATACCTACCCTTCCGATTCTGATGGTGCAATTTAAAAATAAGGTATGAAAGTTTTCTGTACCTTATTTTCCTCTACAACACAAAGCTATGACAACATCTTCATGTTAGAAAATAAATGTTTAAATTGCTTCTTTAAAAAGAAATTTTTAAAAAAGTTATTCTGTATATTTTTTTGTAAGCTGGTTTTTGTGGAACCATAAATTCCAGATATTTTCATTTATCACTTAGTAGCTTTCTACATCATCATTTTAAATTATGTTGTATCATCCACATTTTCTGTCTACCATGTTTATTTAACAAATCCCTCTTTGTTGGACATTTAGGTTATTCCATTTTAGGTCTTTCCGAGCTTATTTAGATGGTCAAATCAGCCAGCTTCACTGTGCTGTGCTGCTTTAATTGAAGTTCTTATTTTCCTTCCCTGCAGTGGTCTCTGGCTCATCATCCAGTTCTAAGTATGACCCTGAGATCCTGAAAGCTGAAATTGCCACTGCAAAATCCCGGGTAAGGACCTTCACAGTGACCACAGAAGTCACTGACCGCTTTCCAGACCCATGGCAGTTCGTGCTAACAAGGTCCCCCGTAGTAACAGTAGTAGATGTAATTGTTGTATTAATAATTGTAATAACAGCTGCCATTTCACAGGCCATCATCCTATGCCAGGCACAATACTGGCTTCTTCAGCTCATATCCTTGCAATAAATCCCTTAAAGTGGCTCCTGCCATTATCTGCATTTTAAAGCCCCTGCCTAAGGAAACCAGAGTCATCTTCCAGCAGAGGTTGTAGGACAGTGTCCTCTTACCAGCTACTCAAGAATTGTTGCCTTCCATTTACTGAGACAGAAATTAAGACACAGTGGTTAAGTGGCCTGTTATGGTAAAGTAAGTATTTTGAACATTGGTTTAGTTCCAGTCCAAGTATCTTTCACAGTCTCAGAGGCCTGCAAGAAAACATAAATGGAAACATGGCTGAGGCCAGGAGGGAGTACTAGGGACTAGGATTCGAATCCTGAGGCTGAGGGCAAATGTGCCTTGGCTCTAGCCTACTGTACCTGTACTGGACCATGAGCCCTGCATCATTAGGTGTTTTTGGAAGGAACTGTGTTTCTAGGCTTAGTATATGGAATCTCTCAGTATCTCTCATTTGAACATCTGACAGTGCTCTGCAGGTCAAGCAAGGTTTCCTGCAGGTGCAATCTGGCTCTTGGCCATGTCTTACCTCTAAAGTTGCTCCATTGCCTCTCACCTCCGTGCAAAGCACCCTCAGATACATCACCTGCTTTAGGTTGTGTGTGACCCAGGTATTTCCCGTTGTCCCTACCCGGAGTAGGAGAGAAAGGCAGTGGCTGGAGAAAGGTCTCATAGCTAAGAAATAGGAGGGCTCAGCTCTATCGCAGCATCAGTCAGCTCCCAACTACTTCCTGTTTCCTTGGACTAGGGACTAGCTAGTAGCACCTACAAATGGGATGCTGAAGGAATGGAAGTAGTACAGACACAAGACCGAAGGGAGGGTACTGTGACTTATGGAGCCCAACAGTTATGGGTGACTCATTATGTAGTATCAGCGGGGTGGAGGGGTTTTGGGCTCCCCTTCCCAGCCTATAGCTCCATGTCCACCTCTGATTCCTATGTCTTATCTTCTGCCTATCCAGGTCAACAAGCTGAAGAGAGAGATGGTCCATCTGCAGCATGAGCTACAGTTCAAAGAGCGTGGCTTTCAGACTCTGAAGAAGTAAGTCCACCCTGCATGGAAAGCATGGGGCCAGTCTCCATCCCGTGTCCCAGAATGCTCTCTGCCCCCTCTCCATCTGTCCATTTCCTTCTTTCTCAAGTTCTTTTCCACTGGCATTTACTGAAGATACCATCACCGAAAGGATGGAGGTAAACAGAGTTATTTCAAACCATGGAGCTTTTGTCATCGTCTGAATTCCTAAAACCATTAAGGCCTGTTCTATTTAGCTGTGTCTTATTCCCCAGTCCGAGAAGCAAGCGTTAGGCATTTCTGTGCATGTCTCACCTCCTCTGATAAACCACTAAACTCTCACACATATATACAAAGCAAACCCTTTATTCCCATAGCCACTACTTCACTGGGCACTCCATTGAGGAGTTTGCTCTTTCAGCAGCAAACCCATTACTAGAGAAGCATGCATTGTACCATGTCCCTCGTGGGTGGCGTAAAGAGCTTCCAGCATCACACCAAACAGATGCGTGCCATTTTCATTTTTAGAAGCAGGCTAGCAGCTAAGCAAGTGATACTGCTCTTTATTTCTCAAGCACCGTGTTAACAGTTGTTATGACAGTGAAGATTTGTTGAGCCTTTGCTGTATGCCTGGAAACCCTCAGTGCTCCTGCATGAGGACACTCATCTGACTGACACTCATCTGACACTCATCTGACACTCATCTGACTCCTTTTGGATTTATGGCAATCCAGAAGGAATGTTCTTTAATCCTATTATGTAGATGAGGAAACTGAGTCACATACCAAGTGCTTGGTAAATGTCAGCCTGTTGTTATAATTAACCATAATGTGTAACCATTTTGTTTTGTTTTGGAAGTTTTGTTTGTTTTTGTTTTTTAGATAAGGTCTCATTTTGTAGCTCAGGCTGGCCTCAAACTTGCTGTGAATTACAATGTTAGCCACCATACCTGACGCAACTAAGGCTTAGTCTTTCTTTTTTCTTTTTTAAAGATTTATTTTATTTTTATTGTTATTTGTCATTTTTGTTTGTTTTTTGTTTGTTTTGAGACAGGGTCTCCATATAGCACCAGCTGGCCTGGAACTCACTGTGTAGACTACGCTGGCCTTTATCTCTCTGAGATCCACCAGCCTCTGCCTCCCAAGTGCTGGGATATCAGGCATATGCCATGACGACCTATTTTATTTTTTGAATGTGTGTATGTATATCTGTGTGTCTGTGCGTGTGTGTGTGTGTGTGTGTGTGTCTTTGTGTGTCTTTGTGTGTCTGTGTGCAGGTGCTCACGGAGGCCAGAAGTGTCAGATTCCCTGGACCTGGAATTATATGGGGGTGCTAAGAATCGAACTCAGGTCCTCTGGAAGAGTATTACCCACTGAACCATTTCTCCTACCTCCTAAGGCTTATTCTTGAATTATATGCAAGGTGTCTGTGACTTCCTCAGTGAACATTATAAAGGTTACCTGGCAACCCTCACAGAGTCACCAGGAAGGTTATCCGAATTCCTGAATTCCTGTCTTCAAAGAGACTGCTCAGAATCCTGGGGAGGTTATACCCATCTGGATAACAGTCCCTAAATTCATTTGCTTTTTCTTTCCCCCTGACCACACTTTTTTATTATCCTCCTCAGTGAGCACTGCACACAGCCTTGGGACATGTGGATGAGTCCTGTTATAACTACATGAACTATGGCCACTAGTTGAGGGTCAGTTGATTCTTCTTCATACCTTCCTATCCCACAGCCCTCACCACCTGGGGAGCTTCTAGGAATTCAGCATAACACAGGGTGTAAAAAACTATGAGCCAAGGTGGCACAAGGCAGTAATCCCAGCACTTAGGAAGGTGAGGCGTTCAAGGCCAGGTAGGGCTACAGAGCAAAACCCCGTCCCAAAATAAAACAACAAAAGAAAGTATGACCTGCCCGGGACATAGCTCAACAGAGAGTACTTGCCTAGCATTCACAAGGACCTAGGTTCAATCCCCAGCCCTGGAAAAAAGATTCTACAAAATGGCCCTATATTATATTATAAATTGTGTCAAATGTTTTTCTTTTTAAAATATCTATCTTCTTAAATGTGTTTTATACACACACACACACACACACACACACACGCACACAATTTATATGTGCATATTTGCCAGTCCTATCTTTCAAACCAGATTCTGACCTAATTCATGGAAGGGTTTGCTTTATGCTTCTCTGTAGTCTTTAGTGAACACCAGAGACAATTCAGAGTAATAGTGTGAACAGAGACAGACCCTCCCACTTTAGACCTGTTAAAGCAAAGCGCTGGCCTCTGTGCTCCAGTTGATCAGCTTATTTATATGTGCAAATTTGCCAGTCCTATCTTTCAAACCAGATTCTGACCTAATTCATGGAAGGGTTTGCTTTATGCTTCTCTGTAGTCTTTAGTGAACACCAGAGACAATTCAGAGTAATAGTGTGAACAGAGACAGACCCTCCCACTTTAGACCTGTTAAAGCAAAGCGCTGGCCTCTGTGCTCCAGTTGATCAGCTTTGGTGCCTAGTTTAAGATTGTTCTTTCTGGGGTTGGAGAAATGGCTCAGCGGTTAAGAGCACTGACTGCTCTTGCAGAGAACCCAGGTTCAATTCCCAGCACCCATATGGTGGCTACAAACCCTTCTTAACTCCAGTTCCAGGGGAATCTGAAGCCCCCTTCTGACCTCCGTGGCATTGCACGACATGGGTGCACTCACATACATGCAAGCAATACACTCATACACATAAAATAAAAATAATAAAAGACTGTCCTTTCCCCCTCCTCAAGAGCTCTGCTTAGAATATGTTCCATTATTCTCTGAGCCTCCACAAACCTGTTTAACCACTTTGTTGCCCTGTAGCAGCATTGCAAATTCTTGTCCTTTGGTAAGCTGATAGTGGAATCCCAAAGATAAGCCTCCTTTCCCCTTCCTCTGTGGGTTTGATAGCTGGCCCAGATAAGACTCCTCTGTAGCAGCTGGCCATCCACAGTCCTCAACCAGTCCAGGCTGGAAGAAGACATTCGCTCCAATACACACCCTGGCAGAGAGGAATATAGCTCAAAACCTGTCGGGTTCAAATCCCAGTGCCTGGAACCTTGAAAAAATGACTTAGCCTTTCTGAGTTTCAATTTCTTCATCTGAAAAGTCCATAGTTGTAGGGATTGAGTTGGAAAATCCCTGTCTAGCACATAAAAGAGGAGCCTGGCACTGAGGAACTGAGTGGGAGGGTGGGAAAGGACCCCTAGCTAGTTTTCTTGGACTTGGGAGGGACCATCTACCCCAAGCTTGCTGCTGTGTTGGAGAGCCCCCATTATATCAGCCACCTCATTTCATTCTACCTCAACAAGAGCGGCTTTTGTTCTGCCCCGTGTTATTGATGAAGGCACTGACAAGGTTGAAAATATGCCCAAGGCCCTCTAGCTAGCAACGGTCATCTTTGGGACTGAAACCCAGGAGTTTAGAGGGTTTGTTTTAATTTCTAAGAAACATTTTATTTATTGTATTTATTTTTATTTTATTTGTATGAGTATTTGCCTGTATGTAAATGCACCATGTATGTGCAATGCCCTGCAGAGGCCAGAAGGGGGTGTCAGATCCCCTGGAACTAGAATTATAGATGGTTGTTAGCTGCCATGTGGGTGCTGGGAATCAAACCTTGGTCCTCTGGAAGAACAGCAAATATTCTTAACTGCTAAGCCATCTCTCCAGCCCCAGTTTGTTTTAATTTTTAAAATGCAATTATTTGTTGTTTTGGTGCCAGGGATGGAAGCCAAGGGCCTTATATATGCCAGGCAAATATTCTAACCACTGAGATACACATCTAGCCTTTATTCTGTTACGTTATTGTTTTGATGCCCAAGAATTGAACCCAGAACCTCTCACATGTTAAGCATGTACTCTACCCCCCAGCCACACCCCCCAATCCAGGACTATTATTTGTTATTTCATTTTCGTGGTGCTTGAGGAACTACTGGATTTTATAGTTCATATCTCAGTGCTTATTTTATAAACATCATTCCTGATAACACTCTCCCCATACCCAAAAAGCATAAGGCCCATTCCATCTCTCTTGGAACCACTTTTCTTCAGGTCTGATAAGAGACAGCTCATGCATTCCTCATCTCTTAGCCTTCTGTGTTTGTAGAACCTGGGGTGTTGAACCTCATCCCTCAGGGGTAATTTTGGGAGCTTTCAGAGTGACATCGACAAATGTCATGTTCATGGTTAGAGGCCGACGTACTGGTCTGCTTCCTGAGAGCATATGCATTTGCCTCCATGATAAGGAGGACCAGCTAAGGTGTGTTGAGTAGCTATGTGTAAGAATCCATGAGCTTGATTCATAGTCAGCAATAAGACTTTTTTAAAAGGGTGAAAAACTTCAGAGGATGAAGGAAACCTCAAGCTCTCAAGGGCAGAGAAAAAGAAAAATCAAAAGCATAGTGTGGGGCTTTGGCCTGTGGCTCTCTTGACAGCGCCCCGCCCGCCCCCATGAACAGGAAGGAGTTGAGACAGCCAGCTGCTTTGGCAGGGCCAAGGCTGGGTCCCTTCTGTGCCCCACAGGAGCCCCTGTGCCCAGAGTTATCTGGATAAGACAAGAGAACCTGCTGCTGTGAGAGCCTGTGCCCAGCATCTAAGGCTACTGGGCATGCAGAATCCCCCAAAGGCCTGAGAGAAAGGACAGCTGCATAATTTGGAAATCCTAAAGCACATCTCCCCCGCACCCCCATCACAACTTTTCTTTCCCTTTACAAAAAAAAAAGATTCATTCACTGAGTGTATAATGGTGACCCTTTGTTCTTCCCCATCCCCTCCCCACCCAAGCTTCACCCCAAGTGTTCCTCCCAGAGCTGCTCTATGGAGCCAAATTCCAGAGGCCGGGTTGCTAAGGGGCCTGAAGAGATCAGGTAGAGCTCTGTGCAGCCCAGCACACAAACTGCTCTGTTCATCCTGCTGGGGATTCAGAGCCATTCTTGGCTCTGTTGGCAGAGGAGAGCCGGGCCCAGCCACCGAACCCTCACACCTGCTCTAGCATGCAGCAACCCTGCATCTACCACCCGATGGCCATTCAGAGCAGGGTCACCTGGCATCCCAGTTCCTCCCTCTGGGGACTTTTCTATGGTGCATCTTTGGCAGAAATGTGTGGAAAAATGCTCCTTAGATTAATTTTTCAGACTAAATTTAAGTCCAATCTTAGACCTGGCAGGCTTCCCTCAGCCCTCAAAAGGAATAGACAAGCCATTTTTAGTGAGAGACACAATTGGGGCTTTGTTTTCTCCATGGAAGCTAAAGTAAGTGCAGGGGGCTGTGTGGGGACCTCTCCCTGCTGCCCTCTCTTCCCCTCTGAGCCTTGCACCAGGATAGAAACCTGCTCAGTTCCTCCTCCCCTCCTCCTAGTGAGTCCTGACTTAGGCTATTTTTAGCCCAGGACAATTTGGCCTATGGCAGGAAACCAGAGAGGAATGCCTGCGAGGATTTCTCAGCCTGGAATAATGGGTTTGTGGTGTTCCCTCTGACTCTTAAACTTCCTTTTCTCCACCCTCCACTGAAGCCTGGGCCTGCCTTTGATGATAGTGTGAAATGGTTAAGTGGGCCTGCTCTCAGAACTTTCTCAGCACCCTAGCCCTTCTCCTCCAGATCCCCAACCCTCCACCTTCTCCAGTTTACTTAGATCTTCAGTAAACTGCCTTGGGACCTTAGGGCTTAGCTTAGACATAGATACAGCTCTTGCTTAGTGTGTTTAAGGCCCTGGATTTGATTTCAACACTGCAAGAGAAAAAAGAAAACAAATAAATATTCAGTTTTTTTTTTTTTTTCTTTAAATAACCTTTCCTTCCATCAAACAAACCTATATATAGGGTCTGGATAAGCCAATAATCTCTGGGCTAGAAGTGTTTTAATCCCTTACATTTGTACAGTACTTCCTAGTTTGCTGCAGTATTTAATGTCATTTATCCCATTTGACGTTCAGAACAACTATGAACATAGGCCAAACAGATGCCACAAACGAGGCCTCTTTAGAAAAGCAAACTGAAGCTGTAGGGTTGAGGGCCATGTCCAAGGCCACTCTACTGCCAGGAACAGCCGTCTCACCTTTCCTTTGTGTAAAAGTACTTGCTGTACAAGCCTAATGACCTGGGTCGATCCCAGAACCCACATAAAAGTAGAGAGAACCGACTCCACAGAGTTATCCTCTGACCTCTACATGTATGGCATTGCATGTACATATCCACATACATCCACATCACACACACACACACACACATACATACATACATACATACATACACACATACACACACACAAATAATAATAATAAATAAAAAATTAAGACAATGATTCTCATCTGGAGAGATTTTAGACCTTTCCCCCAAGGGACATTAGGCAAATATGGAGATAATTTTTGTAGTCACAACCCAAGGTTAGAACATTGTTAGTATTTTGTGGGTCAAGGTCATGGATGCTGCAAAAAAGCCTGTGATACACAGAAGAGCCCCTTCCCCTCAATTTATGTCAGATTCTAACTCTATTCAAATATGTTTAGCTCTGTCCTCCAGGCTACCACAGTTAAGTCAGGAATACGGCTTCATAAAGTCTAAGTTACCAACACGATAGAACACCCAGCTATGTAAGATGTGTCATAGCAACCACCTGCCTGGCCTGGGGGACTGAGGGAGGGAATCAAGGAAGGCCTCCTAAGAAAGCTCATGCTCACAGGACCCCAACCTTAAGAGTAGCATTGCTTCTAAAGACACACACATTTGCAATTTGACAGGGACCATCTGTGGCTTCTCCCCAAAGTGGGGTATGGAGAGGAAGGTTGGACAGAGAGAGACTTGAGGGACTGAAACCCTGCGGCCTGTGACTTGCCCTTGCCCTCCCACATTTGCTCTCTCTCATCTTCTGTCTTCTAGAATTGACAAGAAAATGTCCGATGCTCAGGGTGGCTACAAACTGGATGAGGCCCAGGCTGTGTTGAGGGAAACCAAAGCCATCAAGAAAGCTATCACGTGTGGAGAGAAGGAAAAGCAAGACCTCATCAAGGTGATGCAGCCCCTCCCACTTTCTCCCTAGTGCTCCTTGTGCAAGGACTCATATCAGCTGTTTTCACATACTGTACAGGCCACTGAGTTCGCATTACAATTCAAATACCCAGTCATACATACCCCAAAATCTGAAATTTTGAGCACTACCCAGCTTGTTTTCTGACGACCCAGACTGAAGGAGATGGCTTAGCCTACACATTGCAGTGTAGTGTCTCCACTTTGAGCACTACCCAGACTGAAGGAGATGGCTTAGCCTACACATTGCAGTGTAGTGTCTCCATCAGCCTTTCTTACGTGTTCTCGCTCAGTCCTAATCAGCAAGAAGAGTAATTCTTCAACAGGCAGAGTGACGGGACTAAGTTCTTTGTATTGCATGGGTCAGAGTATCTCCATTTTACAGGTAATAGACTAAGGACAGTCAGACTCAGAGAATAAGTGGCAGAGCCAGCCTTCAGACCCTGGAACATCTGACCTACAATTCCATTGCTTCCCCCTGGACATATTCCCCACCCAGGAGCCACCCGACCCTTGAGATACTTTACCATGGCTCCATTGGCACATCAGGAGTCAGAGACTCAGTGCTGCTATGAGTGGCTCTGGAGGGAAGCTTTGAGCTCACCCAGGACTGTGGCCCAATGGAAACATTCAAACGGGGTACTCATGAACAGCAAGGAGTACTCCTACTGTGATTGCTGGTTAAGAGCACAGAGCACCGAGTCAGGTCCCAGTCCTGGCCTTGCCACTTGCCAGCTTTTCATTGGTAAAGTAGAGAGAATCAAATGATGTAATAAGATCACAGTGCGGCTGAGCTGCTGACTGTTGGCTAACTAATGAGTTGACATGACATCCCTGTGATGTAACCTGGGATTACTCCCATTTCACAGGAGAGTAGGTAGACGCAGAGAGAGGTTAATCAGCTAGCTCAGATTATATGAGGAAGAAGCAGAAAAGAGCTCCACCTCAGGCGGAGTTGGTATGTACACTGGTTTCTCTCATGTGGAAGTCTCAGCTTCATCGCTGGTACTCACTAAGAATCCTTCACCACTAACTCTCTGTCACAGTGTAACTAAGCTGTGAGGTGAGCATGGACTTCTAAAGAAGAGAAGATCTTGCACACTCAGTTCACTCCTACCCCTTCCCTTCCTGCAGAGCCTTGCCATGCTGAAGGACGGCTTCCGGACTGACAGAGGGTCTCATTCTGACCTGTGGTCCAGCAGCAGCTCTCTGGAGAGCTCAGGTTTCCCACTGCCAAAGCAGTACCTGGACGTGAGCTCACAGACAGACGTCTCAGGAAGTGTGAGTAGGCAGGGGCAGTCTGGGACTCTGCCCTAGTAGGGTAGCTACCTATCCTTACTTGCCTGAGGAGCTGGCCTGTGACTGCTAACCTGGCCCCAAAAGATATGATGTGATGACACAAGGAAAGGCCAGTGTGGGGGACTCCACAGGCTTGGCTAAGAGCTTGTGACTCCGGGCCCTGCACAGAATGCGTTTTGAATGGACAGAGTGTCTTTCTCTGGCTTCTTTCATACTGTTTTGTATTCTGATTTTCTTTCACCATCTGGAAAGCAGAGGATGTTTCTCTTATTATCCCCTAATCAATGCATGGAGCTTTCAGACAGCTGCTGGCTCCTGATGCCAAGGCTCAGCCTGGTCCCAGTTGTGGGTAGTAAAAGTTCTGCCCAGGCACCAGTTATGAAAGTAGCCAAGTAGGACCAGTCCATAGTGAGCATAAGTTTTGGAGAGCTTTGACTCTGCTAGACCACAGAACACTGAGTGAGCGAGCCTGCCGCCCAGCCTCCATGGCTGAATGCTGTTCCCGTTGGATTTCTGTAGCTGTCCTCACACTAGGTGAGAGGAAGCTTTGTCCACATGGGATCCCGTGAGCCTTGACACTTCTTGGTTCTCACAGGCAGGTGCAGAAACTGGCTGCCCCTCCTTCTCCGTACCTGCCGTTTGTCTAGCCACAAGCCCCCTAGACACCAGACCAGGTGCCTCTTTCTATATTTCAGGACCATCTCCAGGTCTGAGTTTTTTGTTGAGTCCCTGCCTGGTGCTTCCACCCCCACCCCCACCCCTGTTAACTTTTGTGTGTATTATCCATCCTTGTCCCCTTTCACCTGCTGTGCCCTGTGTTTCTGTCATCTGCTTTGGCCTTGAGCCAATTTTAACTTCACCATGGTACTTTAGATCTTTGGTTTCCTTTCCTGAAGTGCTTAGGTATAGAAGTTTGAGGCTGTTCCTATGGTCTAAAGGAAGAAAAGTATTTTTCTTAACCACCTTCCTTACAGTTCACACAGCAAGCCCAGTGACTGGGGGCTATTCTTGGCTCTGCCCATGCAATCTGTCAAGTCTCCCATGAGCTATTGAAACCCAGCTCACCACTGGCCACAATAACCATGTAATTCCTGACTTTGTTCCTGTCTTGTCCTCTAGTTTGGCACCAGCAGCAGCAATCAGTTGGCTGAGAAGGTCAGATTGCGCCTTCGGTATGAAGAGGCTAAAAGAAGGTAACTCAAGGCTGGGGCTGTGGAGAGGTGGTCCCCAGAGTCATAACTGCCACTAACTGCTGCTACTATGGTCTACTCTGTTCCTGGTCTTTTATGTTCTCCTCTGGTTTAATCCTCAGAAAGATTATGTGAAGGTAGGTGTGATTGTGCATATGTATTAATCCTTTTGAATTCAGAGAGAACGTGACTGGCCTAGGGCACTATGCTAAACAGAGCAGAACTTTGCTGAACCAGGATTTGTTTAACTTTAAAGCCTAGTAATCTTTCTACTTAACTATCTTGCCTTCTATACTCAGTTTTCTGATGTCCCTGGAAACAGTTTGGTCTGAAAGAGCAATGAATTTATTTATTTGGACTTAGCAACAGGCTGAAGAAGACTGTGATACTTCTCACTTCACTGTGAAATGTTATTTGTAATAGTCTTTTGTTGTTGTTGTACTGGGAACTGAACGGAAGGCCTTGTGCATGCCAGGCAAGTAGTGTAGCTGTTTCTCCAGTTGTTTCTCTAGTTTTGGTAGTGGTGGTGATCTTTTAGGCAGGGTCTCTCCATGTTGTCCAGGCCGGCCTTGACCTTGCTCTGTAGTTCAAGAACTTTTGGGAGTGGGTGTAGGGTACTGAGGATTGACTCCAGGGCCTTTCACATGCTAGGCAATTATTCTATCATTGAGCTATGTAGCCTTATTCTGAGACACCTGGAACTCACTATGTAGACCAGGCTAGCCTCAAACTCGGCAATATGCTCACCTCTGCCTCTCAATTGCTGGGATTAAAGGTGTGTACCATCACATCTGGCTCTAATATTTTCCTTTTTAATTAAAAAAATTATTATTAATGGGGGTGGGAGGTACATATGTCACAGCATATATGTAAAGGTCCAAAGACAACTTTGTGAAGTTGATTCTCACCTTCCACTTATATAGGTTCTGTGGATCAAACCTGGGTTGCCAGGCTTGCATTGGCAAGCACCTTTACCCTCTTAGCAATTACACAGGTTCTACTGATGTTCAGAATGAAAATGAATTTAATTATGAAAACAATCAGCCGACACCTTCTGCCTTAGTAGCTTGTATTTCTCAGCAGTATGGATGCTAGGGATTCAGATGTTCTGTGGTTGTATAGAATCTAAGCATTTGGGTTTCACCATCACACTGATAAAGTAATAAAGGTGTCATATCTAGAACTATTGTTGACAAGCGTAAACAGAGTATTGTACTAAATACTTGTATATTTATGAGCTTATCTAATTTAGAAAACTTAACAGCAGAGTTTCTGTCTTATCTCCATACTAGAGAGGAGAAGAGATAGACTTGAGATGTTTCATGACCTTCTCAGGCAGTGCAGTCAGAATTTGAACCCTGGATGTTCTTTCTGACTTCAAGTTCATGATCTTGGGGCTGGAGAGATGGCTCAGTGGTTAAGAACACTGGCTGTTCTTGCAGAAGACCTGGGTTCAAATCCCAGCACCCACATGGCAGCTAACAACTGTCTGTAACTCCAGTTCCAGGGGACCCGACAGCCTCTTCTATCCTCCGCGGGCATTGCATAACACAGGTGCACTTACCTACATGCAGGCAATACACACATACACATAAAATAAAAATAATAAATTTTTTTTTTAAAGTTCATTATCTTCTGTATACTACACCAGCTTTATTGGAAGACAACCAACCTGGCGTTGTGGCAGTGACTAGACTAAAACTAAACTAAACTAAACTAAGCTAAGCTAAACTAAACTAAACTAAACTAAACTAAATGGTGTATCCTATCCATTGCTCTTGAGACCAAGTGGTCTGGTCTGTGAAGCGTGTCAGCCAGGCCACTGAATGTATCAGTGTCTAGCTCTGCTGCTCTGCCAACTCCCAGTGGCCAGCACAACTCTGCAGCAATGACAGAAATCTGGTAGAAAGGAGAGGAAGAAGCAAAAAAGAATTAAACAGTATGACTCCAAAAACGCTGGGGGGATCTAGTTCTAGGCTCAGCTAGACCCAGGAATTCAAACAGTATTGCATAAATTCAGTCTCTTCCTCTCAGCTCCGCTTGTTTTTGTGTTGACTTCATTTTCCATCAGGTTTTCCTTGATTACCCACAGCAGTCCTAAGCTTATGTACTTCTGGGTTACCAGCCTGAGTAGAAAGGCTGCCTTCCTTCCCAACAGATGGGTTTTGTTTGTGGTTCTTTGTTTGCATATTTGTTTGGGTGGGTGGCGTGTCTGTGTTTCCAGTTTCTGAGATAGGGTTATGCTATATAGCCTAGGCTGGCCACAAAATCATCATTCTCCTGCTTCAGTCTCCCAAGCACTGTTCCCAACAGTTTCCATAAGTCCTAGTTCTGAGACTGGTATTCTTGAATGACCAGTCATTGTTGCAGGGCCAGTAGAGAGAGGAGGAATTAGGGGTCCCAGAAGGTCCAGGTATGGGCCATGTGCTCATGCTGGGATGGGGATTGAGGTCAGCTCACCAAGTGGTTTGAGAGTATATTATTTCCAAGGGCAGTATGGGATATAAGAAGGAATTAGATAATGGTGAGATAAAAGGAAACAGGTCCTATGCACCATTTCAGCTCCTCTAGGGGTTCAACAAGACAGCAGCACTTGTATATTTGTGCCTGTCATCCCCTGTAAAGGGACCACCTAGAACCTCAGCTCTCTCCTAGCTTGTAGTAGTATCTTTCTTTGATAATCAGTCCTGGAGAGACTGAAGGTCTGAAATGTTCCACCCAGGGTAAGGCCATTAAATGTTTCATCACAACCAAAGGTAGATTTGGTAGAAAGCACAGGGCAGCTTACAAGATGGGAAAGCAGAGCATGCAGGTCTTAGGATGGTAGAAACGTAGCAGTAATGCATGGAAACCTTCCTTGATCGTCGTTTGCCAGACTTTGTCCCATGTGCATGTCTGAGGGGAGAAACTGGTAGTCTATATCAGATTCTTCAGAGAATGGATGGCCTGAAGTATGAAGGTACAGAGCATGGGAAAGCACTCTGAAAAGTACATGCAAGAAGGCATCAGTGCCCTGCATGTAGCTGAGTCCCACCAGACCTTACATGTCATTGTAGCCTATAAGTGCTAGAGACCAGCAACTACAAAAGTCTCTCGGAGCTAATTTTCATTGATTGCTCTATATAAATATGAAATTAAATAATTATCCATAAGAATTCCTGTTGGAGGGTTAGAGAGGTGCTCAGCAGTTAAGAGTACTGGCTGCTATTGAAGAGAACATGGTTCAATTCTCAGCACTCACATGGTGGCTAACAACCATCTGTAACTTCAGTTCCAGGGTATCCAGTGTCCTCTTCTGACCTCTGTGGGCTTTGCACTACATGGGTGTACTTATATAAATGCAGGCTATACACTCATACACACAAAATTAAAAGTAAATTAAAAAGAATTCCTTTTGGGACACTTGGCCAGAGAAAGAACAAACCTAGATGGGTTTTTTAATGGAACTTTTACAACACATATCACAAAGCATCTTACCTCCAACAACATTTTGATAAAGTTTGGTCACACTTTCTGCAGGTAAGATGAAACTGCAGGTCCAAAGGTCTGCGCTTAACAAGAACTGGCCATGTACCATGATTTCCAGTCTTGAGTGAGCCATAGGGCATCTGTCCAATGAGATTAACAAGTCCTTATGTGTCCACGAGGCTAAAACATGGAAGTCCAAAGCACTTCGTAGAGACCAAGTCCTAAAAGATCGTGCTGTGATTGCATTTAGATGTTTCTAGCAATAGTCTTTCATTTCAGTTCAGTGAGAATGATACCTAATTCTGGAGAACACTTGGCAATGTATAGAATTCTCCTTGCAACTTTTTCATGTGGTGCTCATGACCTCTCAGATTACCATCATTATCTCCACATTACAAAGATACTAAGGCTTAGAAAAGTTAAGATACCAGGCTGCTGACCACCTCCATTAATAATTAGTAAGTACCTATAGTAGACCAAGCACTGTGCTAGAGATTTGTAATACCAAAATGATTTTTGTTGTTAATGCTAGGAATCAAATCCCAAGACCTTATGCACACCAAAGCATATGTTATACCACTGGGCTATCTCTCCAGCCCTACAAATAATTTTTTCAAGAAATTATTCCTTCTGTCACAAAGGCCAAGGCCAGAACTCCTAACTCAAAGTCTCTGAACCCCAGGTCCATGACTGTTCCCACAGTGCCACCACTAATCTGAAGGGAGAGCACACAATTCATCATACCAGTGTTTCCCATAGCCACTGATTCAGTGCCCATTGTATGCCACACACTGCACACATCACCACTGATTTCCATAACCTCTCTAAAGGGTGCGAGATTGCTTTTGTCATCTTCAAGGCTCAGGGACATTTTTCCAGTATTAAGTAATAAGTGGTCTAACCAGGGACAACTATAGCACAGAAACATTTATTGAGGGTTTACTATATGCCAAATAGTGTGTTTTGAGAGGTTATATATTGGACTATAAAACCTTTAGTTACCACCCCATGAAGAAGGACATCTTGTAATTCCCTTGGAGAGCTAAGTACCTGACCCAAGGCCACACAGCTCTTGGTCAGAAGGTATTGCATGGCACTACATCCAGGTCTCTACTGCATCAGTCTAAGACCTGGCTTGGGTCATATCTGTGCCCCAATACTACAGAGCCACCTTCATTGTTGACACCTGGTCTACACCCACATGTGGTCCCTAGAGACATCATGCTGATCAAAAGGAAGGTAATAACTGACAAATATTGCTCTGATGATGGCCTGGCTCCTGGTACCTAATATCCCTAGAAACACAATTTGTTTCTCTATTCCTGCAATGCAAGGGTTCAACAATCATACCTTCTCGACCCATAGGATCGCCAACCTCAAGATTCAGCTGGCCAAACTTGATAGTGAGGCCTGGCCTGGGGTGCTAGACTCAGAGAGGGACCGGCTGATCCTCATCAATGAGAAGGAGGAGCTGCTAAAGGAAATGCGTTTTATCAGCCCCCGGAAGTGGACCCAGGGAGAGGTGGAGCAGTTGGAGATGGCCCGGAAGCGGCTGGAGAAGGACCTGCAGGCAGCACGGGACACCCAGAGCAAGGCATTGACCGAGAGGTAGGTCTGGGGTCAGGAGGTGTGACCAAGTGTGGCCAATGGGCCTAAGGGAAAAGGAGAACATCCAGTCTGTTCTGTCAGTCTAGCAGGGGCCAGGGGTTAGAGGACCATCGTGGGGATACCTGTGACCACCCTCATTTAGAGTTGCCAGAGCTTTCCAGAGTGGCATTTCAGGGAAGATGACTTGTGTTCTTAGGCACTAGCATCCTAGTACTTTATAGAGGAAGCACATTACCAACAAAGTCTGTGGTGCAGGCTCTCGGGAGGCTATCTGCTCACTAGCACGTTATCACCTGGGAGAGTCATTTTCCAACATGGTAACAGTGACTCACATTCTCTAATTGTGAGAAGAAACACAGGTTTCACACAGTAGTGTGTCTCTGACAACCTCCTCTGGTATCCACAGGCTCCACATCATGAAAATCAATTGCAGATTGAAAATGTTTGAAGAGTAAATTAAAAATGAATATGGCAAAAATACAATAATACAATGCATTAATGTAACAACTAATACTGTATTGTTATACAATATATAGAGATGATTTAAAGCACACGGGAGGGCTGGTGAGATGGCTCAGTAGGTAGAGATCCATACCACCAAGGCTGATGATCTGAGTTCAGTCCCTAAGATCTGTATGGTGGAGATAACTGACTCCAACAATTTGTCCTCTGACTTCTGCACGTACACTGTGACACAAGCACATACACACACACACACACACACACACACACACAATAATGATGATGATGATGATGATGATGATAGTAATAAAACAAGAAAGTGTGTATATGCTATTTCATTTATACACAGACTTGAACATCTGAGGACTTTGGTGTCCGGGGCTTAGGAAGGGGTTTGTCTGGGGCCAAACCACTGGATACAGGGGAAACAACTATTTCTCTTCATTCTTCATGATCTACCAAATTGATTTTAGCACATGCTGAGTGGTTGAAGGTTGAAGACCAGTGTGTCTATGTGTGCTTTGTATATATATATATATAGTCTTACAGCCCTTAAACTCTAAAGCAGCCAGCTTGCAGTAACAGCCGAACACCTTAGCAAGCTCCATTTGTGTGTGGCACAGTATCCAATGGCTCAAGATGCTCACCCTCTGTGAGGCTCCTCAGGCCTTCAAGGGCTTCCTTGATTGGTTACTGGGGAAATCTTTCCTGGCCAAGCACATTATCAGACTACTAACAGAGACATCCAAAATGTACCCACTTCTTCCCTTCTGTCCATCACTGGCAGGAGTGGATGATCGGCCCTGAAGCATCACCAGTTCAGTGGAAGAAGGAAAACAGTAGACCTTAAATAGTTCTCTTACAGCTCTTAGAATTACCTGTTAGAAGTCTTCTTTAGTTCCAAGACTATGCTCATTTTCCTGGGACTCTGCCCTTTGGGGACAAGGCCTATGACTTTGCTCCTTTAGTGTTTATGGAAAGAATAAATGGATAAGTGGCCTGGGCCACTGGGTGTCTTATGTGCAACTAGACCCAGTGACTAACTGTCCATCACCCTCTCTGCCAGAAGCTGCTCATCGGAGACTTACTTGATGCCTATTAGGTCAAAAGAGATACATTCCACCTGCTGACCCTGAGCAAGTCATTGACCAACGTGGGCTTTGTTTGCCTCATAGAGGAAAAAAGCACCCCTGAATTCTTCCACAGTCTGGAAACGGGTGTTGAACTAGACTATGAACTGGGGTTCTTTACTGCTATGAAAATTGTCATTTCCTGAAGCTAGAACCCCTAAGGTGTACTGCATGTGAAAGCTACCACTATGTTCCAGATCCTATATTCTGCCCAGTAAACTTGAGAGCAGCCTCTGTTTTACAGATAAGGAAGCCAGGGCTCACCCAGCATCACCACTGACAGAGCTGGTATTAGAAGCCCCCAAGTTTGTGGCTCAAGCCCTTGCTTACTTTAGGTGACTGCCCACTCAGAAGGCCTTTCAGCATTACTTTCAACCCCATCTTTCAAGGGTCCAGCAGCTCCACAGGATCAGGGAGTCCACACAGCCAAGTTTAGGGGGCACCAGACTCTCCACTCCTTGGCAGCTGTTGACCAAGGCCACACAGAGGTTCTGGGGGGCAAGTTGCTGGGGGAGCGCAGCAGTCAGGAAGTTGATAGGCACAGAGGCAGGAAGCTATGTGTAGCCTAAGAGGGGTTCAAGAAGGAGACGCACAGGAATGATGGGGGCACTCCTGATGAATCTACAGCTACTTGCTTCTGATCCATGTGTGTGCTCACTGCTATGAATTCCTGCTTTCCTTCTTTGTAAGTCTTTGTTTTTCGTGTGTGTGTGTGTGTGTGTGTGTGTGTGTGTGTGTGTGTGTATGTGTGTTTTAATGTCTGTTTCTCCTCTCTCCTTCAGCTCCCCTATACCTCTGCTATTTTCCCTCTCCCTTCGCTTCCTTCCCACTCTCCCTCCCTTTCCTTCTAAATGGAATGAAACCTCCATACATACAGTGGCCTTTTCCATTCAAGGTGCCTTTGAGGACAGAAGTAAACATGTCCAGAAGGCCGGACTACAGAACCTACCAAAGCCAGGTCCCGAATCCACCAGAACTAGCCTTACACTCTATGCTTCACTCTCCCTTCCTGCACACCCTCCCCACCAAGTCAGAGCTGGTGTGTACTCACTCAGGGTGCTTGTTAAAGCGTGGGTGCATGACCCCACCTTGGGGACCAATTCTTCAGGCCTGAGATACAGCCCAGGCTCTTGCATTTTTAACCAGCACACCAGGTGCTAAGCTATAGTTTGTGGGGATTCTAGCTTCACCCCCTGGATCTTCTGCCTGCTTCCACACTTGATGTGTCCTTGGCCACCCGGCATGTGTCAAGCATCACACTCATATGCCATCTGGCAGGCTAAGTCTGCTGCTGCTGGGAGGAGACCACTGCACCTGTGTGTTGATAATAGTGGCTACCCCCGCTGTGCTCAGGAAGTCGAGGCAGTCAGACCCCAGTTCCCTCAATAGCCTATCCAGTCCCCAGCGGAGACTTGCACTACTCCCAGCATGCTCTGTGGCTTGTTCTGTAGAAACTGTGAGGTCCAACTCTTGACCCTAGACTTAACCGCCTTCTTGGGTTTTGCTCTTCAAAAGGGACAGGAGTTTCTACAGCTTTATCCATTCCATTGAGAGTTCTGAGGCTTGTTCATTATAGGCTCCATCTGCCAACCCGCCATCTGCCCCTGACTGCCCCAGGCAAGAATCTGGAAGAAAAGCCCCAGAGATTGAGTTGGCCAAAAATCATGCCAAGGCCACTCTGCCCACTGTTCTGGTTGTCTTGACTATGATTTTACAAGTTCGCTTGCTCAGTCACAAGCCCAGAATGTGCTCTGCACTTTTGTGTCTACAGCCATCTCAGATCGTTGTTGCAGGGCATGTGTGGGATGCCCGGAGAGGTTGGTGGAGGGATGGCCTGGTTTGGTTTTATGTGGAAACCTGTCCTTTCTCCTAGGCCCCAGACTGGACTAGCTAAGCTCTTTGTGCCTTCTAGAATGTGGAGAGCAAAGGTCAGTCAGCCCCTCTCTAGCAGGGTGGCAGAGAAAATGGGCACCCTCAGGGGAACACATCCCCACATGGAAATTTATCATCCAGATCTTGCAGTGAGTGAATGAAACTTGCCTACTTCATCTAGGGGGGAAAAAAAATACCACCTTTTTCTTCCCTACTCTCTGTCCATCTTACATGTCCAGTAAACGTCTCTATTCATAGAGGATCCACCTGCTACAAGAAATGGCCCCAAATCCCTGTGGATAAACCCAACAGAAGTTTATTTCTTACCCATATAATACCAAATTGGGTATTCCCTGTAACTGGCAGCCTCCCTTGTCATCGCTGATTCACCCACACCGTTTCTTCCTATGACAGCTTCCCTTTAAGGCCATGTGAGTCTGTGAGGAAAACGTGCCCACTTCCCTAACCTCTTCAGCCTTATACACATGGCTTCTGTTCACATCCCATTGGCCAGAACTTGATCATATGCCTCTGCCAGCTCCCAGAGAGGCTGGGAAAGTGGTCTAGCTTTGAGTCCAGGAATCTAGGAGGATGCAAGGGTAGGTTCATGCAGCCTCAGCCACAAAGCTTCTGACTCAAGGTCTATATTAGGAATCTCCTATGTTCTTTTCTACTGTTCTGGACCTTGTCACACCCTGTGCTAATAGATACCTATTGTCTTCTACTCTCCAAGCTCCCTAAGAGCAGAAACAAGTTCTCTTTCCCTTACTAATATATGTCAGTGCTAGGGACAGCATCTGGTAGGACCTGAGTGCTCGGTAAATATTAATTGGAGAGGAAGAGGGATGGAAGGAGAGAAGGAAATAGTAGTTGGAAAAGGGAGAGAGGGAAGGAGGAGGAAGATGTAAGGAGAGAGGGAGATAAGGGTAGCTGGGTAGAATCCTAATTCCACCACTGACTGCAACTTTGAGTAAGTTATTTAACTATAAGAACCTCAATTTCCTTATTTGTAAAATAGTGAGAAATCATTCTTACCATGCAAGTATCATTATAGACTAAATTAATGCAAGGTATTAAGGTTTCTAATATAGTCCCTCACCTATGCCAGATAACATCACAATTACTATAGACTTATAATATATAGAGGGTATATTTCTCCCAGACACCATAGTAAGATGCTTCTAGAAAGTTCTTATGTATGTGCCTTTGGATTGCTATATCCATCTATGAGAACACATGTCTATGTTTCCTCTTTGGTGAACTACAGGGATGCTGGAGGACTGGATCCCTTCAGAGCAGTCCTGCCATGCCTTCTCTCTTTGCAGGTTAAAGTTAAACAGTAAGAGGAACCAGCTGGTGAGAGAGCTGGAGGAAGCCACTCGGCAAGTGGCATCTCTGCACTCTCAGCTGAGAAGGTGAGTGGGGGGCGTAGTGGGTGACTCTTCGGGGACAGCCAGCAGGTAGTCCAGCTCTGCCCTTCACTGATCCTCCTTTATCAGGACATTTAGAAGCATAGAGGGTGATTAGTCTAGCAGATGTGGGCTTGGCCAGGGTGACTAGACACAGGGCCCTTCATCTCTTGGGACTGTACACACAGAGATGGCTCCAGGAAGTTTCTCTTGTGCCTGCCAGCCCACTTTTTTTTTTTTTGAAAAGCAGAGTTTAGATTGAGAAGCAAAAGTGCAAGGTAGATAAACCCTGCAAGAGTCCCAGGTTATTTCTAAGAGCTTCCTTTAGGGAGGTTGAGGAGGGGGAGAAAGTGGTGATCATTATGGACAGGGTATGAGTGGTTTTCCTTAACAAAGTCAGTTGTTTGCAGTCTGAATAAATGCAGGTTACACTTTGGCTGTTTCTAGGCCTTAGTCAGCATACTCACCCCACTGTGCTCCCATGTGTCCTCCAACAGATTGATTCCCCACAGAGTTTTACTGTCAGTAAAAGTAGAAGCTAGGTCCTCACAGCAGGCAGCAGTTAACTCACAGGCCTCCAATCCAAGATTCTCTGAGTGGTTGGGATGTTTTACAGCTTCACATGACAACAGTGTCCTCTAGCTTATTTTCTGTAATCTGTAGACTTCTCAGATTCCTAGTGCTGTTATGTACTGCAGCCAGGTCTTGACAGCCACTGGATGATGATGATGGCGGGGCTGACCATGAGTGTGCTGTGCAGTGGCTGCTTGCCCGCCATGCCCCTAGCAAGAGAGGTTCTTGGTGGGGTGGTCATAATCTCCTACAGGCTGCCTCTGCTGTCTGGCCCCCTTGGCCAAGCTCAGCAACCTGGTGTCCCAATACCCCACTGGCTAGGTGCACACATGGGTAGGCAGCCAGGCCTGTAGGGCTCCATCCATTGCTCAGGCATGCATGGGTGGTGGCTCCAGGCACCATCTTGACTCTCTAGTTAATTTTCTTCTTACTTGCCAAGTCCTGAGTTCAGAATTTTGAGATCCATGTAGAAGTGCCAAGGGTCTTAATAAAATGAGGAGGCCCAGAATCATATTATAAGTCCCTGCCCTGAGCCACCACACAAAGGTTCTTTATAAAATGAGAAAACCTGGAGTCATGTTTTAAGTCCCTGTGCCAAGAGCCACCACTGCTGCCACCAATTATCTAATACCCACAGCCATGTCATTGCCATCTTGACTCTTTGATTATTTTAAAAAATTTTTAATTGAATTTTTGTATATTTCATACAGAAAATCATCTTTATACCCCCTTCCCCTTTGGCACCCTCCCATAGCCCCCTCCCCCACTGCAGTTTATACTTTCTGTCATTTGGGTTAAGGTCTATCATGTACAGTTAGTGTCCCCAGATGTCCCTCAGTGCAAATTCATCCACTAAGGGGAGGGAGTCCCTCCCCTTAGGAAGATCAACTCTTCCGCACCCAGCAGTAATCAGCTACTGATAATTCTTCATCTAAGATTGGGGCCTGCTGTTCATTTCCACAGTTCTGAGCTGGGTTTTTGCTTAAGTTTGCATGGGTCTTGTGCATGCTGACACCATTGCTGTAGGTTCATATGAGAAGAGTTCCAGGAGCCTGTAGGACTATTTCTGTATGGTCATGTACCTCCTTCCTGGCTCTTACAGTCTTTCCACCCCCTCTTCCGCAATGATCCCCAGGTCCTGGGTGGGTGGAGTTTAATATAGGAGTCCTGCTGCCAGTCCACTTTTATAGCGCCTTTGAATCACACAGTAGGTTTCAGTAGGCTCAGGCTTTGAGGGCTACAGTTTGTTGTTGGAACTTCACAGTAGCATTTTGTTTTCATCAGTTTCCTCTCTCCATCCCCCTGACAAAGTAGCTTCCTTTTGTGTATAGCAGTAGTGCTTTTGAAGGACATTTAGGATGTCAGGTCTCCTTTTCAGTTAAATATTTTAAGGTACTAAAAAATGAGTTAAGCCCGGCGTGGTGGCGTAACGCCTGTAGTCCAGCACTTGGGAGGCAGGGGCAGGCGGAGCTCTGTGAGTTCAAGGCCAGCCTGGTCTACATAGTGAGTTCCAGGACAGCTGGGGCTACACGGAGACCCTGTCTCAAAAAAGACAAAAAAAAAAAAAAAAAAGGGTTGAACCAGGCATGATGGTACACACCTGTAATGCCAGCCCTCTACAGATAGAGGCAAGAAGATTAGGAGTTCAAAGCCAGCCTTAGTGACATAATGAGTTTGAGGCCAGCCTGAGCTGTGTGAGACTGTCTCCAGGGGAAAAAAAAAAGTGACTTGATTTCAAGAAATATATTCAGAAATAGTCCAATAAAAATATAATGTGGGGGCCAGCATGGTGGCAAATGCCTTTAATCCCAGCACTGGGTACAGAGGCAGGTGGATCTCTGTGAGATAGAGGCCAACCTGGTCTACATAGTGAGTTCAAGGCCAACTGGGGCTACAGGCCAACCTTATCTTGAAAAAAGTAATGTGGCCAATGGAGGCTTGAGAAGTAGAGATAGAAGGAAAGAGCAGAAGCCAGGTGTGGTGGTAGTAAATACCTAGAATTCCAGCACGTGGAGGCTCAGACAAGAGGATCAAGAGTTTGAGGCCTGCCAGATGTGCAAAGCAGGACCTTGTCTCAAACACAGAAAGTACGGTACTTTTTAGGCAGGGAACTTGAGTCCCCATCCGAACTCTGCTGCTTTCTGTCTTTCTTAGCGTGTCTATTTTGTTCTCAGTGAAACTGGGTGCATGGTCTGCCGTGGGTTGTCAAGTGGGCCAGGAAAGTGATTGTATATCAAATTTCCATAGTGTTTTCCAGAGCCTTGCCCCCATTGGCCACCTCACTCCATGTCACCTCTTTCTTCCCCTCCCTGTTCTCAGCCTCTCAAGCAGCATGCAGTCCTTGTCTTCAGGGAGCAGTCCTGGGTCACTCACGTCCAGCCGGGGCTCTCTGGCTGCCTCCAGCCTCGACTCTTCCACCTCAGCCAGCTTCACTGACCTCTACTACGACCCCTTTGAGCAGCTGGACTCAGAGCTGCAGAGCAAGGTGGAGCTGCTGGTTCTGGAAGGGACCACAGGCTTCCGACCCTCAGGCTGCATCACCACCATCCATGAGGACGAGGTGGCCAAGACCCAGAAGGCAGAGGGAGGCAGTCGCCTACAGGCCTTGCGTTCCCTGTCTGGCACACCAAAGTCCATGACCTCCCTGTCCCCACGCTCCTCTCTCTCCTCCCCATCTCCTCCCTGCTCCCCTCTCATCACTGATCCCCTCTTGACTGGAGATGCCTTCCTAACCCCACTGGAGTTTGAAGACCCAGATCTGTGTGCCACGCTTTGTGACCTGAGCCTCGGCTGCAGTACCCGGGAAACATATGGGCTGGAGGAACCCGGACCCGAAAGCAAGCCCTTGGGCAAAGGTAGGGCAGGGGTGGGGTGGAGGGTAGGAGGCAGGTGCTCCCCATAATTCCTGAGTACCATGTCTGGTTGAATCATTTTGTAGTCAACTATTAATTTAATCCCATATTGGTTAATGTAGAGTGTGCTAGTTCCTGGGCTTAGGGGTGTGTGTGGGTGTGCATGCATGCATGTGTGTGGTGGATTTACATATTCAGTAGACTTTTAACACCTACTAAAATGAATCCCAGATCCTGGGCTAATTGGATGTACTTGGGTTAATTCGTCTATGCCTTCAACAGATATGCCATGTGGCAAACACTGGCTTAGTCACTAAGGATCAGTGTTGAAGACAGACAAGGTCCCCTGTTCTTGGAAAGCTTAGGTTCAACTGGAGGCCCAGGTAGATCTATCTGCACAAAAGCCTGTGAAGTAAATGCAGCAGGGTGTGTGGTAGAGGCTTTGAATGGAAGTGATGGCTGGTTCCAGTTGGAAAGGACCATCAGAATTAAGGGAATGAATGATGAGTAAGAGCCAGACTTGGAAAATCCAGAGAAAGCAAGTATAGTGACACTCAACTGTGACCTCAGCACTTGAGGGGCTAAGATAGAAAGGACTGGGAGTTAGGGTCTAGCCTGAGCTAGCCAATTCTAAGCCAGCTTAGAGTACATAGAAAGACCCTGTCACCAGAAAAAAAAAAAGGTCAAGCATGATGGTGCAGGCCCATGCTTTTGCTTTTTGAGACAAAATTTCATGTAGCCCAAGCAGGCCTCAAGCATGGGCTGGTGAGATGACCCCCTTTACTCAGTGGGTAAAGGGGCTTAACAAGCCTAACATCCTGAGTTCAATACCCAGAACCCATGATAGAAGGCGAGAACTGACTCCTAAACATTGTCCTCTCACCTCCACATGTACATCATGGTATACACTCACCTGCATTCACAAAGACACATCATAACACAACTCACACACAATAATAAATTTAATTTAATTTTAAAAATCAAAAATAAGGAAGGAGGAGGGAGGGAGAGAGGAAGGGAGGGAGAGACTGAGCAAGAGTAAAATCTCTAGAACATAGTAATGAATGCAAGTTGGGGCCAAGAAGCTGTAAATCCCAGAGAGGGATCACTAACAGGACTAGAGGATCAGGCAGAGTTCTAATCACACAAAGCCTGGCAGGTTGCAGTAAGGCATTTGGATTTTATTCTAATTGCAACAAGGACCCGTGTGACTGTTGGAAGCCAAGAAATGACTTGCATTTCTGCCTGGGATCAAAAAGGACATTTTGGAGTTGGTTGGGATTCAAGTGGGAATCCCCAGATTAGGTGCCACTGCTGAAGTGATAACCAAGGTTTGTTAGAAAGAAAACTATAGCAGCAGTCATATAGTAAGTCATAATTCTCCATACTTATTGGAGAGGCACTCTGTTGAGGAAGTAGATTACTTCTCATCTGCCCATTTCATAGATAAGAAAGCTGAGATTCAGGGAGGTCATCCATTGCCCAGTGTTACACTCACAGCAAACGAGGAAGCTGGGCATGGAAGCCATGCCTTACTGAGCCCTTGTGCCCAGCTTTAGGGTAGGAGGTGGCTCAGTGTCACACAGATGTACAACTGTCTTGGTACTTGCCAGGCCCACCAAGTCCACCAGGTGCTGGACATGATGGTCATGGCACAGCAGGGTGCTCAGTAAGCTCACCTGGGGCTCCACAGTTGTGCTGTCCCAGCAACCCTAGTAACTGGGTATCTAAAGAGTCAGGCCCTGTTGTACACATTTACCCATTTAAGCTTCATAGCCCTGTGAAGTGGATGTTGTCTTTTTCAGAGTGGACAGTGGTGTATCTGCAGTGCCTGGAATTGTCCCTCCTGTGCAGGGGCCAATGGTGGGGTGCTGAGCTTTCCTGGTTAACTAAAGGCTCTGAGTGTCAGCATGTCTTTAAAGAGGGGCTGTGAGATCCCTGGGGTTCCTCATCAGGAAGGGAACCTTGCTGACTGCTCTCAAACAAAAATAAAAACAAGCTTTCTAGTACCTCAGGTGGCAAGCTTAAGCTAATTGTTCCCTGGAGAGCAGGGGGTGCAGGTAGATCCTCCAACACAGATTAAGAAGTATCTTTGATGGGGATCTGGGGCCACCAGGACACTCAGACTCATAAACTGGAGATAGCACATGGGGTTAGGTGCCATCCCAGAAGCCTCCCCCACAGTGCCAGGCAGAGCTCAGACACTAAGCAGGTTATGCGATTAGTGCCGCCGTTCAGTCAGGAGACAAATTAATCTCCTTAAGTGGTTTAGCAGAAGATGGAGATGCATAGGGCTGAAGGCAGGAGGTCTCTATAGAATCAGCGGGTGTGGGACAAGTCTGGGAAAAGCTTCCCATTTCCAGCACTTGATGTGCCCCAGACTCTCCTTACCATCTATCCCTTTCCCCAGTTTGTTATGCCCCCCGAGTCTCTGTACAGTCTCTGTGCAGCTCTTCACTTCCAGCTCTGGGTCTTCACCTGCCCCCAGGGCCTGGCATGCACAAGTGCTCAGGAATGTTGGCTGTAGGGTGAAGTACCTGCAGCTGACCATCTTGGGAAGCAGGAACTGCCTTCTTAATTTTGTAGCTCTGGTCTGGACCTGGCAGTAGACCCTGCACACTGCAGGTGCTCATTACTTGGGCAAGGAGGAAACTTGTACCACATGCAGTCAGCCCAGTAATGAGTCCCATCAGAGACCTCCTGAGACCTTTGCTAAGGGTAGAGAAGAGAAGACGCAGACATGGGTGAACTGGATTGACTGAGTGGGAGATCAGGTGCTTAATCCTCTCCTGAGGATGCAGGAACTGTTGATTTTCCCCAGATATGTAAGGAGAATCTAGACAACACTAATAGTAGCTAGACTCAGTGTCTCAGGTTTATAATCCCAGTGCTCAGGAGGTTCAGGCAGGAAGATTGTGAGTTTGAAGCCAGCCTGGGCTACATATCAAAACCCAGTCTTAAAAAGCAAAAGAGCCCAGGCCTGGGGAGATAGCTCAGTTGATAAAGTGCTTACTGCACAAACATTGGGACCTGGTTCAATCCCCAGAACCCATGTTTTGTTTTGTTTTGTTTTGTTTTGTTTTGTCTTGTTTGGGGGGTGGGGGTTAAAGCTTGTTATCCCAGTACTAGGGAAGACAGTCAGGTGGATACCTCTGGCTTGCTGGTCAGTCAGACAAGCTTAATGCAGAGCCTCAAAGCACAGTGAGAGACCCTATCTCTAAAAACAAGGCATGTGCTTCCCGAGGAACAGAACCTGAATTGACGTTTAGACTACATGTATAGGCATCCATGTGTACCCATGCACTTATGGACTCGTAGGTGCATGCACATGTGTGCACACACACACATACGCAAACCCTGAACATCATGCAGTGGAATTTGTACCGTCTCTGAACTATAGTCTTTCCCTCATTCAGGCCTCCCAGTAGCCCTATAAGGTAAGTAGTATTCCTACCTCACAGAGGAGGAATCTGGGGCTTACTGGAGTTCAGTCAGTGTCCCAGGATCATAAAGCAGGAAGTGGCAGAGCCATATTTGAAGCCAGACAGTTTCGTTCCAGAGCCCAGGGTAGTAGACATGAAAGTACACATGACCCCCCTCCCTTGACCCAAGCAGAGGTAGACCTTACTTGAGAGTTCAGAGGTGTTAGAATTCAGTGGAACCATCTTACATGAGAGTAGATCAGAATTATGTGGCAAAGACACTTGTTTCTGAACTTGCCTTTACCCTCCCCCTCCCTTTGCGCAGCAGCAAGTGTGGCCCCAGGGTGCGGTCTGAAAGTGGCCTGTGTCTCTGCCGCTGTGTCTGATGAGTCGGTGGCCGGGGACAGTGGTGTATATGAAGCTTCCGTGCAGAGGTGGGTCTCTAATATTGTCCTGTGTCTGGAAATCTGTGATCTCTGGATGTGCAAGCCCAAGCACAACAGGTGTGGTAGGGCTCCAGTAAGCCATTTTCAGTCACCCAGCTTTCTCTGGCAGCCCTGTTTGGGGGTAAAAGTATAGGAAGCAAAGACGGAGATGGTGTCCCAGCTCCTGGGCCAAATGTGGATTCTGGGTTGGTGATTGCAAAGAAAAGGTGCTAGAGAAAAGCAGTCCCTTCTAGAAAGGGCTCCCAAGCACCTGGGGAAATCAGGGTTCTGAGACACACTGAGCACCCCCAAGCTTTCCTTCTGGGGGACACAGCCTCACAATGAGAACTCTGTTTCTAGAGTTGCTGGGTGGATATGGGAAAGCTAACCCTTTCCTCTGTTGCTTTTCAGACTGGGCACTTCAGAAGCCACTGCATTTGACAGTGATGAATCAGAAGCCATGGGTGCTACTCGGGTTCAGATTGCCCTGAAGTAAGTGACAGGGCACAAGGACAGAGGAGGGTCTACATGGGACCCCTTGTTCATCCACAGCATTGTTCCCCTTATGGCTGCACTGAGCTGGACAGTGGAAGAGAGCATAGGCCTCCTGCCTGCACAGCATCCACTGTTGTGGCTGTTGTCTTTCAGTGATCCAGACCCAAGCTGGCCCTGGGGAACTGTGGCCTGGAAGCTAACGTAAACATTGTCGCTACTGCTGGTTTCTCTTCCTGGGGGATGACTCTGATCTATTTTTTATTAGGAATTGCCAGCATTTCAACATCAGGAAATTTCACACAGACTTCTGCTATCTCTTAAAAATTCAAACACGTAGGCCAGGAGGATGGCTCAGCTGGTAAAAGCACTTGCCACAAAAGCCTAGGGACTTAAGTTCAATCCCTGGAACCCACAGAGGAAGGAAAGGACTGACTTTCCAAAAGTTGTCCTCTGGACTCCACATGAGTGCCTGCGCACACATGTATGTACACAAATATAAAAATCTCAAACCTAAAAAAAATAAAATGGGGCTGGAGAGATGACTCAGCTGTTAAGAGCACTGACTACTCTTACAGAGGACCTCACTTCAAATCCTAGAACTCACATGGCAGCTAAGAACTGTCCTAACTCCAGTTTCAGGGGATCTGACTCCCTCTTCTGACCTCCTCAGGCATTGCATGACATGGATGCACTTACACACATGCCGGCAATACATTTCATAAAATCAAATTTTAGTTGACTGCCGGCTCTGGACCTGTGTCTACTCATGGCAGCCAAGCTCTGGTTGGGTGCTGTCCAGCTCACTACACTTGCCACAGCAGCCAGCAGTCATGACTTAGGATTATTAAGAAAGAAATATGTGCTGACTGGTGCTCTGCCTGCCCCTTTTCATTTCAGATATGATGAGAAGAATAAGCAGTTTGCAATATTGGTTATCCAGCTGAGTAACCTCTCTGCTCTGTTACTGCAGCAAGACCAGAAAGTGTGAGTATGAAGTCCGGCGTTTGTGTGTTACCCTCTGACCCACTGTGCACATCTCCAGGAGCACTCTAGCTCTGTCTTGCTCCAACTCCAAGAACTGCTGTGGGCATTTAATACATGTGAGCGTGCCAGTATTGGTCATACATGGGCACAAAGACAGGCTTGCCACCTTTGGAGAACAGGACTCTAGACCAATTCCACTCCTTTCTGATATAACCTGGGTTCCCATCTAGGAATGTCAGGTGAGCTGGTCCTTCATGGATGCTGCCCTCCTGGGCTCTTACCCCATGAGGATAGTGACTATCCATGTTATCTTCTCTATGCAGAAGGAGACAGCTCCCTGGTTCTCAAGTGAACACTAGTCTCTATGCTTCTCTAGAAAGGAGGAGACTGGATGCTTGGTACCTAGACACCGCTATGATGGCATCACCCACACTGTGTGTAGCCTCGTTATAGGCTGGCTGACTGGGTTCATGTTTTATAGCACTCACCCACCTACATATTTCCCCCAGCAGCTAGACCATAAGACCTAGAGAGCAAGAGTTGCTGCATCAAGCCAACATCTGGGGGTTGGGAGTAGGACAGGAGAAGGAAGGAAAGTTGACAAAGTCCAAAGAAGGCCAGACCAGGACTGGGGATTATCTCCAGTCTCTGCCCATACTAACAAAGCCAAGATCAGAAACTTCCACATTCTTTGGTACTTGTGCAAGGCTATCTGTGGGGTAGTGCCCAAGGGCAAGGTTTAGGTGCAAAGGCAAATGCATCTGTAGTTTGGTTAGAATTGTCAATTTAGGCTGCGGAGATAGCTTAGTAAAATTTAGTTGGTAAGGTGGCTGGCCACACAACTATGAAAATGAGAATTTGATCCCCGGAACCCACATAAAAAGGCCAGGTATGATAGTACACATTTGCAATCCCCATACTAAGGCAAAACATGAGGCTTACTAGCCATCCAGCCTAGCCTACTTACCAAGCTCTAGGCCAATGAGAGACCCTGTCTCAAAAAACAAGATGGATAGCACCTTAGAGACAACATCCAAGCTTGACCTCCGGCCTCCCTTCATGCATACACACGCACACACATACACCAGCACACACACAAAAGAATTTTCAAATTCCTGCCTGAGGGGATTAGAGCATTTTTCTTTAGTGCAGGAGGATCCTCAAATTCCCACCATTCCTCAGTGCTAGCAAGCAGCCCTTGATGATCTTGCTGCATACTGACATTTGTACCTGGCTCACCTATGAGTTGCTAAGAATTTGAAGACCTCAGGAAGAAGAGCAGTTGGTACCCTTGGGCTTTTCTTGCATCCTTCACCTAAAGAGACACCCTGCGCTCTCTCTTCCATGGTTGTCTCCCTGGGGATTTCTGCAGCTAGTTAATCAGTGCATTAGCCCCCGCTGACCCCACCCTCTGGCGGTTCTCTCTCCTCTAGGAACATTCGTGTGGCCATCCTGCCCTGCTCTGAAAGCACCACCTGCCTATTCCGGACCCGGCCTCTGGACACTGCAGACACACTCGTGTTCAATGAGGTGTTCTGGGTGTCCATGTCCTACCCAGCACTTCACCAGAAGACCTTACGAGTAGACGTCTGTACCACTGACAGGAACCATTCAGAGGAGTGCCTGGTGAGGGCTGTGTCTGTCTGTCTATCTGTCTATCCACCTAGCCTTTCGTCTTTAAGGCATGAAAGTGATACAGGTTGTAGTATGGGTCAGTCACATTCATTCTGGATTTTAGGCAGAGATGTCTCTACAGGGAAGAGTGTTCTAAGATTTCTGGGTGGATGCTCTTTTTGTAAGGAGGGTGGTTGACCCGAAAGGATCTGGAGATGCCAGCTGCATACATCACCTTCCTGTGCTATATTAGAGACCAGACAAGAAGCACAGAGTAATAGGAACCAGGAGACTGACATTCGGATCCATCCTTACCCCTTGCCGTCTAACTGAGTGGCTATGGGCAAGTTATTTAACATCTCTGATTCCCATTTTCCTTGTTCTTAGAGTACAAATATGGCCTCCCTGATTGCCCATTGGCAGCTGTTGTAAGGATTATATGAGAACACATACAAAGCACTACTGAAACATCTGAAGCTCAGTGAATGGGGTTCCTGCTGCTCCTCTGGCTTCCGCCTCCTCTCACATTGACAGGAGCCAGGATTGGAAGTGCAGCAGTTCTGTGAAAGCCCTCGGTTAGAGACAGCAAGGCTGATCAGCCTTCCCACTGGAAGAGGGAAAGTAGCACCTCACTGAGGGCCTTCAGACACACAAATGATTTGGAAGAAGTGAAAGACTTTCTTAACTCTGAGGCCATTTCAGAGTTTTTAATGATGGCTCAGGTATCATTAAAACAATGTGGGCATTAGAACTAGGAGGGAGCTCCATTCACTCTGATCTCTGCTAGGAGCCCATCAGTGCTAGGGCACTGGAGATCTAGAGAGAGCCCCTTAGACAAGGAGCCAGCTTTGGCAATTAGCCCATAACTGTGATGTAGGCTGTACTGGAAATGGATGGGTTGAGGCGACAGAAGGAAATGTGGAGTGTGTGCAGAGATGGGCTGGGGTGTGTCGGCTACACTCAGCCTTTTCCCTTCCATCCACGTGGAAGCTTAGAGAGTGGCCATGCCATTGCTGCCTCACCTGCAGGCTGGTCTCCTTTCTCCTGGTGGGAGCCATGGGCCTTTGCCTAGAGTGGGGGCCTCTTAGCTTGCCCGCCTCATGTAAGTTTGCTTGTGCTAGGGAACCCTTTCCATTGAGGAATTGTGGGACCGCATCTTTGGGATATAAGGTCGAGTCACCAGGCTGGTTCTTTCCGGCCCTGTCACCTGAGACTCTTGAATCCCCAGTCTCAGTTCCTGAATCTGTAAAATGCAGTTCTTACTGCCTACCATGCCGGTTATTCTTGGGAACAGGTGAAGCTCCGACACAGCACTGCTCAGATCCGGTGCGTATGGCTGTAGTCACCTGCACTGTGGTCAACACCGCAGGTTTGGATTCAGCATATCTGGACAGGACCTGAGAATCTGCATTTCCAACAAGCTCAGGGATTCAGATGCTGTAGGCCTGCCTCACTCTTGGTGTAACAAGTACGTAGAGCAGCAGAGAGGCCGTGAGGGCTAAGTATTCACTGGCTAAGAACTCCTGTCACTGTCCTGCTCAGCTGGGGCCCATAACAGAATGCCTGCCTTTTATGATGTTGTTACCATTGACAAAAATGCAGCAGTGAACATGAGTAGGATGACACTTATGTGACGAGCACTGACTTAAGTTCCTGACAAGCATCCTCATGGATCCTTACTCAGACTTCCAAATAGTTACTTTACACTAGTGGGAAACTGAGTCAGAGTGGCAGAAGCTATATTTGAACTTGGGGAGACCCTTGTCTACAGCACACAGATTCTAGAGCCCCTGGGTGTCTTCTCTATCATCTCAGGACTCCCTGGTAGAAAGGGTTTGTGAGACATGATGGAAACTCAAAGAAAGTTGAAAGCCTTTCCACACCCAGGCTTTTCCAGTGAAGTTTTTCTTCAGCCCTGGGAATTCCAGAATGAGAAGCAACTCAATCCTATTTTCTTCTCCTAAGTGGATGCCTTTTATTCTTCCTTTCTAATTGAAGTCTGGCTATTGCTGGTTGCCATGGCAGCAGCCAAAGCGCTCATCTTATAGTGGCTTGTTGCTGTCCATGACCAATGAGAAACCTCCTTGTCTGCCCTCAAAGGGGACGTGGAGTGTCAGGCTGGTGTGTTTGTGTAGCTGGAGGAGAGGAAGTGGGATAGGAGGGCGCGAAGGGCTTTTACTGTTCCCATATGGGGTTTCCCTTGCCTTGCTGGGGCTGTGGAATCTTCAGTCTGTTGTAAGCCATTGCCATTACCGTTACCAAGCAGTGCCTGTATGTTTTCTGTTAGGCCAAGAGCCCTGTGGGGACTGTCTTGTCTCCTTTAGTCTTCAGCACAGCCCCAGGAAGAAGTGTAGGCTAATCTGCATTTTCACAGAGAAGGGAGCAAAACCCAGAAAGGCTAAGTAGCCAGCCAGGGTCATCCAGTGATCTGACCCAGGTGGATTTGAACACAGATTCATCTTTTTTGCATGTCACTTGTACTGTACTGCTTCTCAGGGTGACCAAGGGCTCTCAGCTCCCCAGACTTCAGGGTTTAGGGGAACACATGGCTGGCCTTCCCTAAGATTGTGGGCAGCAATTCTACCACTATGTTCGTGTGGCATTATGCTACCCCCACCTGCTAATGTCAGTGCCACACAGCTCAAGTTGTGCCAAGGCAACCCCCAGCATTGGCCATTACAACAGGCCACTTGTTGCTTCGTCACTTTGCCTTACTAACTTGGCAAAGCCTCAGCCTTGTCAAAGTGCACTTTGCACCTCTTCCTTTCCACCAGAGCAACTGGTGCAGAAAATGCACTCAGCCATGCTGTGTGGTGTCCTTTGAAAGTTATCCTCACTGGTTTCCCACCAGCCCTAAGTGCTCTTCTGCATTACACTCCATCTCCCTGGACCATTTCCTCTGGCTCTCTCACACTCACATGCCAGTCCTTAGAGAATATTCAGCAAAGTGTATGTGTTGAATCCATGAATGAATGAATGAATGAATGAATGAATGAATGAATGAATGAAAACACTCAAATGCCCTTAAAATGCTTTCAGTTTGTGGAGGTAAGTGATAGTCACAGTTCTGAGCCAGCACAGCAGGCAGTGAACCCTGTTGTAATTAGTAATAATCTGATGGAGGTGTCGTGCTTCCAAGCTGTTCTCATGATCCCTCCCCCTTCACACCACAAACATAGCCTGTCATGTTCTGTACTGTAATAGCCAGTGTGTTTGACTGTCTCCCTAGGAAACTCAGCCCCTGGGGGAGAATCGTGTTCTAGATGTTTCTCTGACAGCAGAATCTGTAATGGGCTCGGGGAATACTTGTTGAATGAATAAATGAGTAATATACATATACTTGTGTATATTACATTTATTCTGATGCCTAGAGTATGCCAAGCATTTAAGTCCTGAATTGACATAACCCTCCCCATAGCCCTGCAGGTAGGAGCTATTTTTCTTGTTTCCCTGGTGAGAAAGCTGGTGTCAAAACAGAAAAGTGGCAGCAATGTGCTGGCTTCCTCTCCCCTACTCAACACCTTTCTCTCAGAAATTGCCACTAGTCACCCAATCTTAGTATGGTCTGTGCTGTGTTCTGGTATCTCCTGTTTCAGGCTGAATATCCTTGTCAGGAATACTTGGGATCAGAACTGTTTGGGATTTCAGGGTTTTTATTATTTATTTATTTATTTATTTATTTATTTATTTATTTAGAATAGTTACATATATAATGAAATATGTTGGGATTGGAACCCAAATCTAAGCAGGAAATGTATTTATTTCTGATGCACCTTGTACATTCAGTCTGAAAGTAATTATAGATTATTTAACATAATTTTGTGAGTGAAGAGAAGACATGGGATTTTCTACTTGTGGCGTCATGTTGATCAAATAGTCTTGGGTTTTGGAACAGTTTAGATTCAGATTGAGACTGGAAATGCCCCGCCTATAGAAGTGCAAACTAGAAGAAAGATTGTTGGGTAGCTTGAAGAGCCCTTCCCTCATCTGGTGCACCATCACGAGCCTTTGCCCAGCTGCAGGCCCACTTTGCACACTGCCTTCTGATGTGCCTACCATCCCCTGGCCCAGCCTTTGGTATGTGAAGACAAAGGGGAAGGTGAATGCATTGAAACCCAAATTTGTCCTGACCTCTTCAGACTGGGTGAAATAGTTAAAACCTCTGAAGAGGAGTAAAGTTAGCCTCACATGCTTCACACTAAGGATGGACAGGAGAACATGGTGTTTGAAATAATTCCCTTCTCCAGGAAGTAGGTTAGTCTACTGCTCTTCCTCTTCATCTTGAAGAATGTATGTATGGGGCTGGAGAGATGGTTCAGTGGTTGAGAGCACTCACTGCTCTTCCAGAGGACTCAGGTTTGGTTTCCAGCACCCACATGGCAGCTAACAGCTGTCTGTAGCTCAATTTGGGCCTCTGTGGGCACTGCATACATGGGTGCAATCACATATATGCAGGCAAGACATTCATACACATTAAATAAAAATGTTAAAAAGGAATGCATTGATATGCTTCAAAGGAAAAGTGTGAAAGTATATCCCCTCAACCCCTCAAGCCTTATATAGCTAGCAATTTTGATTTGTGTATTCTTAATCTTTCCATTATTTTTTGTTGAACACATGCTCATGTGATCCCTTTTCCTGAAACATTGTGCAATTACATATATATTAGGCTTCTTATTAGATATTTAAAAAAAAAAAGTGGAGGCTCAGAGAGGTGCCATGCCTGACTACCTACCACGCAAACTGAGAGCACCATCTTCTGACCCTCCTTCCCATGACTTCTCGCTGACTTGCGGTCTCAAGAATGATTATATTCTATCTTCTAGCCTTCCCTTCCTTCTGTGCCTCTCCTCCCCTCAGGGTCTCATATAAACTATGCTAGTTCCACCCACTGTACCACACAGCCCTCTGCTTCACTTTGTAAAAACTGTGAGTCAAGATTTTTTTTTTTTTTTAAGCAAACAAGCTGTATAAGGTAAAGCAAAATACAGAAAGAAAATACAAATAGGCTCCCATATTTGAACATTTGGCTCCTAGTTGGTGGCATTGTTTGGGAAGATTATAAACCCATAGGAGGCAGGGCATTACTGGAGGACATATACCATTTTTGTGGGGGTGGTCTTTAAGGTTTTATATTTTGGTCCCCCTTCCTGTTACCTCTCTCTACTTCCTGTGCATGGATAAAATGTGATCAGGCTGACCTCACACTTCTGCCACACCTTCCACCATGATGGACTGTATCCCCTCTGGAACTATGGCCAGAATAAAGCCTTCCCTAACTTGCTTTTTGTCAAGGTATTTTATCACAGCTGCAGGAGAGTAACTAATACCGAGGTACACTCCAAGACCTCATTTCTTCCACCTAGGTCCCACCTTCCACAGTTCCACAACTACACAATAGTCTATCATAGATTCTGAATCCATCATTCGATTAAATTATTGCTTGGATCAGAGCCCTCATCATCTACTTGTCTCTAGAAATTGCCTTCAGAGGCACACAGGGGTGTGCTCTATTAATCTCCTAGGCATCTCCCAATCCTACCAAGTTATCAAGTTGTCAATCAAGATTAACTATCACTTATCACTCTGTGGAGGTGGGGGGGGTGCCCAGGTCTACATCATTCTGTTTTCCCCTTAATATACCCTGGCAGTCTGTCAGCATTAGTATGAAGAGGTCTTCCTTATGTTTTAGTGTAGCTGTATAATAGTCCATTACAGGGATACCCTATAGTGTATTCATCCAGTCTCTTGTTGCTGGACCTTTGACTCTCTTACTATTACCAAGAGAGCCAAAATGAAGGCTCATGTTAATGAATCACTTTGTACTTCTATCTGTGGGATAGATACCTATAGGTAGGATTCCTAGGCCACAGGGTGAATTATGTCCACGTTTTTCTATATTTTGACAAATTCCTCTCATAAGGAATGTAAAGGGAGCGTTGTTTTTTTTACCTCACTTGTGACCTTGTTCAGTGTTGTGCTCCTTGGAGGCTGTTCGCTGCTAGAAGGAGGGCTGTGTGGGGACTCTCATTATCCTTAGTACTTGGCCTGGAACCTAAGCCTGAATATGATTAGCACAGGCATGGTATCAACAGACAAAATTCAGATAACCCGGTTTTATAAATGGGCCAAGTCTGAGCCTGGTAGCAAGTATACACCTGTGATCCCAGCAGTCGGAAGTGGAGACAGGACAATAAGAAGTTCAAGGTCATCTTCAACTACATAGCAAGTGTGAAGCCAGCCTGGGCTTCACGAAACCCTGTCTCAAAAGAAACTGTACACACACAGGCACACACAGAAGCTGGGTATGGTGGCATATGGCTGTGATACCATCATTCATGAGGTTGAAGCAGGAGGATCAACAAGAGTTCAAGACCTGCTCTGTCTACATAGTACATTCAAGGCTAGCCTGGGTGATACTGCAAGACTATCTCCAGAAAGGCCGGGCAGGAAGGGGGAGTATAAAAATGGGTGTCACAGGATGCACCCAGTCCCGGGTAATTGAATGGCTGAAGTACACTTTAGACCAGCATTCACAATGTCATGAAACCCTGTATCAGGAAAAGAAATTATGAAGTGAATAAGCCAACAAATATGAGCTGTCAAAAACAGCTAACACCAAGCTTTCTTCCCCCTAGGATGCTCCATCTCATGGTGACTGCTGTTTTCCATATTGTCCCCAGGAACTGAGTTCTCCTTTACTTACATCCCTTTTTCTTTGTTCCTAACAGGGAGGTGCCCAGATCAGCCTGGCAGAGGTCTGCCAATCTGGGGAGAGGTCCACGCGTTGGTACAACCTCCTGAGCTACAAATACTTGAAAAAACAGGATAGTGAACCCCAGCCAGTGGGAGCTACAGGTCCTGCCCCACGGCCTGACCGCAGGGTGAGTATGCTAAGTGCACTGGGTACCCCCATCCCCCACCCTGCAACAGCAGATGGACTACTGAGGGCGAGAGAACAGTGCAGGAATAGTCTCTGCTAAGTGCCCCAGCCCAGCTTCCTGCCTGTACCCTGCTCTCCTCTGATTTTGTGCTTCCTCCTCCTCCTATAATTTGTTTTACCTTATAATGCTTATCTGATTTTTAAAAAGGCCTTAACACACATTTTCTAACATTTTATTATTTTTATTTTATGTGAGAGTGTATTCCCTGTGTGTATATAAGTACACTCATGTTGTACAATGCCCTCGGAGGTCAGAACCCCTAGAACTAGAGTTACAGATGGGTGTTAGCCTCCATGTGGGTGCTTGGAATCAAACCTGGGTCCTCTGCAAGAAGTCAGTGCTCTTAACCACTGAGCCATCTCTCCAGCCCTAACACACAGTTTTTAACAAAGTGAAGCAGAGGGGTTGTTTGTGGTGCAGTGGGTGGAGCTAACATGGCTTATGTAAGACCCTGGGGGTCCATCTGCTGTTGCAGGGTGGGGGATGGGGGTACACAGAAGCAAGGGAAAGCTGCAAGTGAGAAGTTATGAGACGGATGGTGAGAAGATGACTCTTTCTGGTTGGGCATGCCACCTCTCTGATCCTCTATCTTCTTGTGTGTGTCTTCTTGTGGTGTGTGTGTGTGTGTGTGTGTGTGTGTGTGTGTGTGTGTGCCTGTGTATACATGTGTGTGGGGGGGGGAGGCCCCCTTTGTGGAAGATGACTCTTTCTGGTTGGGCATGCCACCTCTCTGATCCTCTATCTTCTTGTGTGTGTCTTCTTGTGGTGTGTGTGTGTGTGTGTGTGTGTGTGTGTGTGTTTGTCTAATAAGGAACCTTATCAGGTCTACTGTGAAGCTTCAAAGAGATGCATGTAGAGAGTGCTTGAAGGGCTGAATAAATGGCACCTGGCCTGGAAGTTGTTGTTTGCCTCACTTTGGTTTGAAGATATGTTTTAGCACCAGTCATTATAACCTGTGAAAATATCCCTAAACTGTTCCCATCCTGCCAAAACCTACAATATGTCAGTCAGGGAGGCCAGGCCTTAGCAGGCTGTGAGGCTGTCCCGCATGTAGGTCCCAGGGTCCTATGGGATGCTGACCCTGGGTGATGGGAATTGGCTGTCTTGCATTTTTTCCTTTGTCAATACTTGGATAGTATGGACAATCACTGCCCCAAATTCCAGAGGAATGGGTGAGCCAGGTCACTCAGGAAAAAAATGGGTGGAAGCCTTAGGTCCACCTTCCTTTTCACTTCCTCTTCCTCTTTCTCTTCCTCTTCCTCTCCTTATCTTCTTCCTCATCACCCTCATATTCTGTATGCCTTTCATGTCAGTGCAGTGCACCAAGGCTCAGAAAGATGAACTGAATTACACAGATAAGCACTCGGCTGGACACAGTGGTGCACACCTGTAATCCCAGTATGTAGAGGCAGAGGCAGGAGGATCTCTGTGAGAGCGAGGCCAGTTTGGGCTGCAGAGGAAGTTTTAGGACAACCAGGGCTACACAACATGACCCTGTCTCAAAAATAAAAGCAAAAAAGACCAGCATTCAGTAAGGTACCCACAGCTTGGAAACACACAAAGGAGGCACGTTGCTGATCGTCCAGATTTCCCAGCCTCAGACCCCTCAGCTGAGGATGACGGCAGATTAACCATATGCTAGAAAGCCACAGCTCCTGCCTTTGCTCTGCCGCCAGCCACTCTGTCAAGTGCCATCCATCTGCTAGGTTTACTTTTCTACATTCTGTATGCAGTTCATTGCCGTTAATCTCCATAATGAACATTTCTAGCACTTATTGGAAGAAAATAGTGTCACAGAGGTCCAGTCATTCCCTCAGGTTACACAGGCTTCTTCAGGAGTGACACCTCAAGAGATGCTTCTCCTCCAGGAAGCCCTCTGTGTACAGTCCTCCACTGTGCTGTTTCTCCATTCCCAAACACACAATGCTTGCCTCTCTCTCATTCCACATCACATTGCTGTGTTATCAATGGGTCATGTGTTAGTCTCTCTGACAGCAATCTGATCTCCATTCAGAGCTAGAATTCTCTCCTTTAACTGATAAACTGACTGTACTAAATACATCCACACGTATAGAGAGATTGCTTTGTGAAACAACCAGTGAAATGAAGACTGTAGTTCCCATGTATAAGTGACTGTGTTTAGGATGCCTGGCTACTCTGGCCTTCAGGTTTTGACCTGTGTTCTCTAGGAGGGTCACATGTCAGGGCTGCTCTGATGCCTGGTGGGAAGGGTGACACGCCAGGGTACCCGCTGACCTGCGCAGTCTCTCTCTCTGCAGGATGCTGTGTCTGCCTTGTTGGAGCAGACAGCCGTGGAGCTGGAGAAAAGGCAGGAAGGGAGGAGCAGCTCCCAGACGCCGGGGGGCAGCTGGTAAGTGAGTGCTCTCTCTGGGATTAGGCTCTGAGATTGCCAACCACAGGGTGGCTAAGGGAAGGGTTGCCCCAGGAGCTCTGAGGACCTGTGCTTATGGAGTCTCACAGATCATAAGACAGTGGTGTTCTAAAACCCTCCCCATTTGCCACTTTGTGTTCTGTAAGTCCCCCCAACATGTGCCCACCTAATGTTATTGGTTGTTTTCATGCACTAGCATTTATTTGGTCTTAAAAAAATTAAAATTGGGTATGGTGGCTCACACCCTTAATCCTAACACTTAGGAGGCTGAAGCAGGAGGATTTCTGTAAATTCTAGGTCAACCTGAGTTATAGAAAAAAAAAAGAAGCTTTACTATAAATGTTCAACTTGTATCATTCTCCATAAAGTGAGGATTGTTTGGTAAAAACTATACTTAGTTGCTAGGAATAACAACAGAAATAGTAAATGTAAATAAGAAGTTTTTGTTTGCCCAGAACATGTAAGACCCAAAGTTCAGTTCCCAGTACACACAAAAAATAAAAGTTTCTTTCTTACTAAGAATGAGAGGAAACAATCTAATCTCTTACCTCCACAATGTTACTAAGGACCCAGGCTTCTTCTTCTTTCTCTCTCTCTCTCTCTCTCTCTCTCTCTCTCTCTCTCTTTCTTTCTTTCTTTCTGCTTTCTTTCTTCATTTTTGAGACAATCTCTCTCTCTCTCTCTCTGTGGTTTTCCCTCTCCTCTCCTCCTCCTCCTCTTGGAGGAGGTTGCTGACCCATTTTCCTCTTTACTATTTCTCCATATGATAAAGCACAGAACCCTCATCCTCTTCTTCTTCCTCTTCCTCCTCTTCTGCTGCTACTTTAAGATCCTGCTAGTCTGGCACTCACTGTGTAGACCAGGTTGTCCTCAGTCTTACAGAGATCCACCTGCCCCTCTCCTCTCCTCCTCCTCCTCTTGGAGGAGGTTGCTGACCCATTTTCCTCTTTACTATTTCTCCATATGATAAAGCACAGAACCCTCATCCTCTTCTTCTTCCTCTTCCTCCTCTTCTGCTGCTACTTTAAGATCCTGCTAGTCTGGCACTCACTGTGTAGACCAGGTTGTCCTCAGTCTTACAGAGATCCACCTGCCATGGCCTCCTGAGTACTGGGCCAAGTGCTGGGGTTAAAGGCATAGGCCACACCCACCTTCTCTTTGATTTTCTTTCTTTTTTAAATATATATATTTTTAAATTTTACCTGTATGAGTGTGTTGCTTGCATGTGTGTAAGTGCACCCATGTTGTGCAATGCCCAGGTCAGAAGAGGGCATTGGATCCCCTGGAACTGGAGTTACAGATGGTTGTTAACCACCATGTGGGTGCTGGGACTCGAACCGGGGTCCTCTGCAAGAGCAGACAGTGCTCTTAACCACTGAGCCATCTCTCCAACCCCTGTTTTTTTAATCTTTACTGTGAGACCACCATCATGAGGCTGCTTTACAAGATGGCTGATGGATTACCTGCCATTAGGCAGGCATTCGTCAAGAAAGATTAAAGATGAACATGCTTGTATATCTCATAACCAAGAAGTATTTCTAAAAGTCACATTCAGCAACTTCCTCTGGCTTCTCAATGGCCAGTCTTTGCTATGTGGCCTTGCTTAACTGCAAGGGAGAATGGGACAGGAGCACTGTTGTTTGGATTTGAAAATCAAGTTTCTGTCATGAAAGCTCAGAGGCAGGAATGGCTATTAGGCAGGCTATGAGCCAGCTGTGCCTGAAAAGAGAGCAGTGGAAAGATCAACAGAACCAAAATAAAACAATATTATTGAAGTCCAGATGGTAAGTGGCTCACTCAGCCTGGCATCTTTGTTCCCCGTATTAAAAAGAAAAGGGCAGCACGTGCTTTAGCACTGAAGCCCCAGGAATCTTTCTCCAAAACCCAGGTAATAGGAGTATCTGGACAAATGTGTTCCATCAGTGTAGTTTGAAGCTGTTGGATTCTTCTTATGTAGACGGAAAAAATCACACACCTTAGAACCCATGACATCAGCTAGGTTTTCAATCCTATCTTCACTTTTTTTGGCATAACCTTCAACAAAGTTTTTTGGGTTTTGTTTTTGTTTTTGTTTTTCTTTTTTGTCCTTTTTGAGACAGGGTCTCCCTGTAACCCCAGCTGGCCTGGAACTCACTATGTAGACCAGACTGGCCTTGAACCCGATCCACTTGCCTCTGCCTCCCAAATGCTGGGATCAAAGGTATGTGCCACCATGCCTGGCTAGCGGTTTTCCTTTTTGAAAATTGATGCGTAATTATACAGGTTTGGGTGACAGCGTCACTGTTTGGAAATTACACAGTGCGTAATTGCCACATTGGGCTAAAGGTGACATAGCCACCTCATGGTGCGGCATGCAGACGCCTCTCTTCTAGACATTTTGTGGCCTTGTTTTGTTTAGTGAGGCAGAATTTGACTATGAAGTTCCTGACTAGCCTGAAACTCACTATGCATCCAAGCTGACCTCCAGCTGGTGGCCAGACCTCTTGCCTCTGCTTCTGGAGTACTGGGACTACAGATGTATCTACCACTTCCAGCTTTTTCTAGCCATTTGCCCCACACAACCTGCTGTTGACTGAAGCTGAACTTTGCGGTAGTCCCCCAGAGCGTCGGAATCACTTGGAACCCACTGTACAGCAACCTCTGTCAACTTTCTAATTTTGTATGTGAGGAAGAATGGACAGTGTTTGTCTTTCAGGACCTGGCTTCTTTCACTTAGCCTCATGTCCTCCAGGACCTTCCACATTGTCACACATGTCAACTTTCTGCAGCTGACTAGCATCTATGTGCACAAACCACAATCTCTATCCATTCCTCTGCTGGTGGGCATTTGCTTGATTCCATATCTTTGTCTTTCCGAGTCCATATCTTGCTGCTCTGATTAGCACTGCTGTGGTGAACATGGAATGTACCTGACTTTACTGCAAGGTAACATGCAGACAAAATAGTGTGCAGAGGTGAATTTGGCTCCATGAATTTTCAGAAGTTAATCTGCCCCTAGAACCCAAATCAAGAAGCAAAGCAAGCCAGGCTCCATGGTACACACCTGTAATCCTAGTTCCCAGAAGGCAGAAGCAGGAGGATCAGAACCTCAGGGTCATCCTCAGCCACATATGTTTAAGGCCAGGATGAGATACATGAGACCCTTGTCTCAAAAAAAAAAAAAAAAAAGGAGGGGAGAAAGGAATAGGGAGAATGAGGAAGAAGAGAAGGAGGAGAGGAGAAGAAAGAGATGAGGAGGAAGAGGAGGAGGAGCAGCAGCAGCATTACCTACACAGGAAGTTCACACCTGCTTCCTTCCCATCTCTGTTCTCACAATTCACTTTAAACTTGTCTGAGCCTCACTGGAAAATGGAAGAAATAATATTGGCTACAGGAAGATTGGCAGGAAGACCACAATGAAGACCAAATGCAGAGCATATCATAGATGCTCAGTGAATGTCAGAAAATGTTTTCAGGAACAGGAGATGAAAGGTTGCTTACCACACACTGGACAGGAAGAGGATACACCTCATCTAGGAGATGCCTGAAGCCATAGTTATAAATACTTGCACTTTGAACTCAGACCAATGTATACATGACACTTAGCTGACTTCCTGTGGATTCCTGTCTGGGGTATGATCTGAGTATCAAGATATTTTATAAGTTCCTTGGGTGACTCTTGTGTCCAGCCTGTGAGACTGAATTTAAAGTAGCTGATCATAGACAAGTCTGCAGGTTCAGTGAGATGGTGCCCAATAAGCTCTTCACAGCTTGGTTGATCCTTACCTTAGCTGTGATGAATAGTGCTACAGTTAACAGGGGGTGACACAACTTTTTATTGTAGCATAACAACCTGGAGGACACAGTCAATAACTCTTTTGTATTATTATTGTTATAGCCCCCAATTCTGTAATTGGTCTCGGAAGGAGCCTTTCCTTACAATCTTTGACTCCAGGGGTCACCATATGTTTCCTGGACAAGGCCAGATGGCAAATACCATCTGCTGTGGCCACACAGCTTCTGCTGCATCTCAAGTTGCCTGTGCAGCATGACAGCAGCCGTGGGTAGTGAGTAACCAGTGGCCACATCTGTGTTCTGTTGACACCCCATATATGGACTCTGAAATTTGCATTTCTTAATCATTTGCACCTGCCACAAATGATTATTGCCCTTTTTATTTGCAGCAATTTAAAAGTATAAAAACTGGGCTGGGGGTATAGCTCAGTTGGTAGAGTGCTTGCCTTGCATACACAAAGCCCTGGGTTCAAACAGCAGCATTGCATACACTGGGTGAGGTGCTGCACACCTGTAATTCCATACTTGTACTCTGGAGATGGAAGCAGGAAGATCAGAAGTTCTAGATCATCCTCAGCCACATTCAAGACCACCCTTGGGATACATGAGACCCTGTCTCAGCACAAAAATAAATAGATGAAATATGAAAATAATTCATAGCTTGAGCTGCCCAGAATACAGCAGCAGGAGCAGCAGGCTAGATTGGGCACTGGCTGTAGTTGCTGACCCGTTTTCCTCTTTACTATTCCTCCATATGATAAAGGCTATTACAGGCTGGAATTTTGTGTTCCTTTGTTTCTGGGATGGCCACAGTGTCCATCTTTCTTTCCCCATCCCTATGCTGTGCTGCATGACAGTCACCCAAGAGAAGTTCCAATGCCAGAACTCAGCCTAGGTCTCCTCTCCCCACACCCTGGCACAAGATCAGTGGTTTCCACTAAATTCCAAGCTAGTGCTGAGACTTTTCAAGCCGTCTCCTAGCAACCGCCTTCTGTTCCTGCTCCTTTTGTGGTCCCCTCTCTCTCCACCCCCTGCCATTCAAATTTCCCAGATGCCAACTTACAAAGAGGGCCAGGGCTCTCAGAGCTGCTGCAGTGGGGTCTGTCCATCTGCAGCCCCCTCCCCCAGGCCTGGAGGTAGCTTTTGATCCTAGGGCAACCACAACTCTGGTGCACCTGTGCAGCTCTGGAGTCTGGTGGAAGTCTCCCAGAGACCAGCCTTTGGCACTAGGATACCATCCTTCTGTACTAAGACCCAGCCAATCTGTGTTCTTTTTAACTATTCAGGTTCCCTAAGAGCTTGCATCAGAAAACTGGATTTCCCCTCACCCTCTGGCTTATGTTTCTGTGGTACAGTCCTATGTAGCCCAGGCTGGCCTCAGACTCTCAATCCTTCTTCCACAGCCTCCTGAGTACTGAGATTACAGGTGTACCCTACCATACCTGACTAGAAAGCTGGATTTATTTCTTTGAAGCATTATAAGCAAAACAAAACTATGAGTGTTAACAGAATACAGAAAGGCCAGCAAGATGGCTCAGCAAGCAGGTAAAAGTGCTTGCTGCACAAGCCTGATGACCTGAGTGTGATCTCAGAACCACAGGGAAAAAGACAACAGACTCTTGAGTGTTATCCTCTGGCATCTACATGTACCGTAGCATACACGCACCACACTCACACACATGCATCATACACATGCACACAATAATAATTAACTTACAAAAAAAAAAAAAAACATAGAAGATGCAAGCCACAGTGGAGTGAGAAGCCCCAGAGTGACCATCTGAGGCAAGGTTCATAGGTGGCACTGCAAAGTCCCTGGGTCTGAACATGTCACCTCTCAGTGCACATCTAGTGCCACCAAAGGAGAGCAAAGCTCCCCAGTATAGCAAGTTCCCTTTTCAGTGGAGGAGAGTCTCAATCACAGGGCGCGAATGGAGACCAAGGTTGACTCCTTTTTAGGAAACCTTCAGGGAGATGCTGAGTGGGAAACCCTTAGGAAGATAGTTTGTGGAAAACCTTCAAGGAAATGCTGTGTGGAAAACCCTCATGGAGTTGCTGTGTGGGAAACCCTCAGGGAGATGTTGTGTGGGAAACCTTCAGGGAGATGCTCTGTTTCCCTGCAACATGTCTCATCAACTAACTGCACATCACATTCTCTTTTTTGGCTGGGAGTATTGCAGCTCAGCATGGTGACACTGTCTCATGCTGGCCAGAAGCCTGGCAGTAATGTATATCTTTGAGAAGTCAAGATGGGATGAGACATAAATTACCACCCAGCACATGCGGTCTATTTGTCTCACAAATCCTTCCAGCCCTGGAGACCGGGGGAAGATGACAGTGACACAGGGTGTCACCAGAGCAGAAGCTCTTCAACAAATGCTCCTGAACAGTTGGATACTTGTACAGACAAAAATTAATTTTGTTACTTATTTCACCTCATGCTCAAAAATTAATCTGGTTTGGATCATAAAGCTAAAACAAAAACTGAAACTAAAACTTCTAGTAGAAAGTGTACTGTTGGCTGTAATGTAGCTCAGTGGTACAGTGTTTGCCTCATATACACAAGGCTCTGAGTTCATTCTCCAGTATAGCCAATAAATAAATGTATAAAAATGCTTGGCAAAGATTTCTTAGGACATAAAAAGCACAAACTAGCTGTGTGTGGTGGCGCATGCCTTTAATCCCAGCACTCAGGAGGCAAAGGCAGGCAGATCTCCATGAGTTCAAGGCCAGCCTGATCTACATAATGAGTTCTAGGCCAGCTGGGGCTACTGGGAGACCCTGTCTCAAAAAGACAAAAAAAAAAAAAAAAAAAAAAAAAAGAAAGAAAAAAAAATGACACAAACTAGCAGGGTTTAGTGGTGTATGCCTTTAATCTCAGCACTTGAGAGGTAAGACAGGCAGGTAAAGGCACTTGCTGACAAGCCTGCTGAACTGAGTTTGATGTTTGATCCCATAATTTGTCCTCTGATCTTCATGGGTGTGCACACATAAACAAATTTAAATTTTTAAAAATATTATATTTATTATTTTATGTGTATGAGTATATTGCCTGCGTGTAGGTAGGTGCACCCATATCATGAAATGCCCATGGAGGTCAGAAGAGGGCATTGGAGTCCCCTGGAACTGGAGTTACAGACAGTTGTTATCCACCACGTGGGTACTGGGAATCGAACCCCAGTCCTCTGCAATAGCAGCCAGTGCTCCTAACCCCTGAACTATCGCTCTAGCCCCACAAATTTAATTTTTTAATATATTTTTAAATTTCATTTCTATATGTATAAGCGTATTGCCTGCATGCATTTAAGTGCGTCCGTGTCATACAATGCCCTCAGAGGTCAGAAGAGGACATCAAATCCCCTGAAACTGGAGTCATTAGCCACCAAGTGGGTGCTAGGAGCTGAACCCAGGTCCTCTGCAAGAGCGACCAGAGCACTTAACCAATGAGCCATCTCTCCAGCCCACAAATTTAATTTTTTATGAAACAAAAGTACAAATTAAAGCCACAGGAAGGCTGAGTGAGGTGGCACACACCTGTAGTCCTAGCACTTAGGAGATGGAGGGAGAAGGATCAAGTTCTGCAGTGAAGTTAAGGCCAGATGAGGCTAAGTTCTGTCTCAAAACCAAGAAAAACAAATAAACCTGGGTGTGGTAGCATACATTTAGTGCCAGCACTTTGGAGGTGTAGGAAGGAGAATCAGGAGTTCAGGGCCAGCTTCATACAAAGTAAATTTGAAGCCAGCCTGAGCTACATGAGACTCTGTCTCAAGGAGGAGGAAGAGGAGAAAAAGAAATTGAAATTAAAAAATAAAGTCATAATAAGATGCTAATCTATGGCCAAGCAAATGACTGACAGTAGCAAGTGTTGACAGGGAACTCTAATGTTTATTATGGTGCTCTTGAAAATATAAAGTGATGAATGACTTTGGAGGTTCACTTCATCAGTTTCATAAGAAGAATAAACATACACTAACTGATTCAGCAAATCTCTGAACTATTTATCTGTTGTGAGCTGAATTGTACCCCGCCCCCAAGTTCATATGTTGAAGCCCTTCTGAGCTCCAGTACCTCAAAACAAGAATCTGGAGATAGGACCTTGGGGAGGCAATTAAGGTAACAAGAGGCCCTTACAGCAGGGTGGGCCTAATCAAATCTGATGGGTTTCTATAAGGAAGAGATTTGGACACACAAAGAGACACCAGGGATGGATGAGCCCAGGAAAGACCGTGTAGGACATGGTAAGAAGGAGCCATCTGCAAGCCAAGGAAAGAGGCCTTGGGAGAAACCATACCTGCTCACCCTTTGCCTTGCTCTCAGACTTCGGCTTCCAGAACCTTGGGAAATAAAGGTTCTGTGGTGTCTTCTTTTGGCAGTCCTAGCCAATTATACAATATCTAACAATAATGACAGTCTGGATCTACATGCAAAGCCGTATATGAATGTTCTGAGGACCTTCAATCATAATGGCTAGGTAATGGAAGCAGTTCAAATGTTCATCGACTGTAGTTAAGCTGCAGTACATCCATCCAGTGGAAATTACTCAGTATTAGAAAAAGAAGTGAGGGGCTGGAGAGATGCTCAGCGATTAAGAACACTGACTGTTCTTGCAGAAAACCAGGGTTCGAATTCCAGCACCCACATGGCAACTAACAACTGTCTGTAACTCCAGTTCTAGGGAATCTGACAGTCTCCTCTCTTCTTTGTGGGCATTGCACAACACGGGTGCACTTACCTGCATGCAGGCAGGCAATACACGCATACACATAAAAATAATAAATGAAATATTTTTTAAAATAAAAATAAAAGAAGTGAGCTACTGATGAATGGAGGACCTTCAAAAACATACTGACAGAAGCCAAGAGACACAAGAGCAACTACTATCTGATTCAGCACGTACGAAATGCAAGAAAATCACATATGACCTTTAATGCCAGCAAGTCCATCAGAGTAGAGGGAGGCTAGGTGGAAAGGGCACTATGCAGATATGAAATGTTCCAAATCTTGATTGTAGCAATGGTTATGCAACTGTGTGCATTGTTTAGAATTCATCAGACTATACTTTGAAGATGCACTTTGTGGTATATGAATTACACCTCACTGAAATTGTAGGTTTGGAGGCTGGAGAATTGGCTCTCAGCATCCAGGTTTGGTTGGTTTTTTTTTTTTTTTTATATTTTGTTTTTATTTTATGTGTATGAGTGTATTGCCTACATGTATGGGAGTGTACCCGTGTTGCATAATCACACAGAGGTCAGAAGAGGGCTTCAGATTCCCCTGGAGCTGGAGTTAAGGATGGTTCGTAGCCACCATGCGGGTGCTGGGAATTGAACCTGGGTCCTCTGCAAGAGCAGTCAGTGCTCTTAACCACTGAGCCATCTCTCCAGCCCCCAGGTTTTGTTTTCAACACTCACATCAGATGGTTCACAACCATCTGTAACTCTAGTTCCAGGGGTCCAATGCCCTCTCCTGGCCTCCTCAGGCACCCGCATCCACGTGGTGTACATACAGATAAGCAGGCACACACACATACATATTAGACAGATAGATGATAGACAGACAGGCAGATGATAGACAATAAAATTTTGCTTTGCTGGGGTGCTGGAGATCAAATCTGTGGAATTGGACATGTTAGGCTAATGCTTTTCTACTGAGCTACAGTCCAGCCCTGTACTGGAGGTTCTTTGAATAAATACGCTCATAGTTGTAAGAGTCTTGGACGCCCTGCCTGGACACACTTCCAGACAGAGGATAATTGGCAGGGTGTTTTCTGTGGGATAACTAGAGCATTTTGTCATCACAGGCAATATGAGGAGGAGACCAGCGAGAACGAAGCAGCAGCTGAGGAAGAGGGAGAGGGAGAAGGGGAGCAAGAGGACGAGGAGGGAGAGGAAGATGTTTTTACTGAGAAAGTCTCCCCAGAGGTAGAGGAATACCCAGCATTAAAGGTAGGAAGAACCAGCGTGAAGAGCTAATCTTCCATCCTTGAGCCTGGACCATCAGAAAAGGTTCTCAGCCAAGCCTTGTCCTTCAGCATCCAAGGACACGTTACCCAAATGGGCAGTGTGCATAGACAGGGCCCTCCTTGCACTTTGGGTCATATTTACAGGTGGTACACCAGAAGGGACTGATGTGCCCCAGTTTTCTTCTGCCATGTCTGGTTTCCCTGTGTCTCTGGTCAGATCTCAAGCCTTGTAGTCACACAAATTTCATTTCAGAGTATGACTCTACAACTGCCTGACTGTAGTCTTGAGCTGATGACCTCATTTCTGTCCAACCTCCATTTCTTCATCTCTAAAATGGACTCAGTAATATCTGCCTTGCAGATAGGATTTATATTCATTTCCGTGGAGAACTCCATTCTCTGTACCCTCAGAATCCCTCACCTACATAGTGACCTTGAACAAAGCCCTGAAGCAGAACCCAGACACTCCCACTGACTCCTCTACACCGAGGAGAGTTGCTGCAGTTTCTCCAGCCAGAGGGCACTCTTCCTCATAAGCAAAGGCTATTCATGCTAAGACAGTTCCTGGTCCCTGTGCTTTTGTCTTTTACTGATTGCTGCTGTGTGCAGACAGTAGAGAATTTGACAGCCCTGGAGTTTGGGGTATTGTTTTTTGGTCTTGTTTGCTCTTTGTTGTTCTTTTATTTATTTATTTATTTATTTATTTATTCATTCATTCATTCATTCATTCATTCATTCCTTTTTGGTGTCTTGAGACAAAGTCTCCCTGTAGCCCCAACTAGCCTAGAGAACTCGCTATGGCAACCAGGCTGACTTCGATCTCACAGAGATCTTCCTGCCTCTACTTCCCCAGTGCTGGAATTAAAGGTATGTGCCACCACACCCAGCTTCTCTTTAGATTTTTGACAATGTCTCCATATGTTACCCAGAGGGGCCTTGAACTTGCAGCGACCCTCTTGCCTCACCTTCCTGAGTTCTGGAATTATAAACATGTGCTACTAGGTCTGGCTCTATGATGACCTTGTTTCCAAAATGAAATTTGCTAGTTACCTCTGTCATTCCAGAAAAGTATTAGAGTTCTTGGCCAGGGCCATGGAGGCCTTAGGTATGGCCAAAAGCACAAGCATTGAGGATGGAAGGCCCAGGGCACTGGAAGGAACTTTAGTATCGTGCCTCACAGGAGCTGGGGGCACATGCCCCCCCCATGCCCCTGCATGACATGTGTGATCGAATAGTGAAATTGGTGCCCTGGCCTTGGATTCCATCCTGGTAGGTCCAGGTTAATCAGGCTGTGATGGTAGGAGGCCAGGAAATTCACCTATTTCTGAGAGCCAAAGGTGAAATGACAAGAATGGGGAATTGTCAAGCAGACTAAAGCGGGCTTTGAGACCACTGGACACTGGTGCCCTCAAGGCTGTAACTTCTTCCTCAGGTGGACAAAGAGACCAACACCGACAGCGTGACCCCATCCCCCACAGTGGTGAGGCCCAAGGACCGGCGGGTGGGTACCCCATCACCAGGACCGTTTCTTCGAGGCAACACCATCATCCGTTCTAAGACCTTCTCTCCTGGACCCCAGAGCCAGTATGTATGCCGGGTAAGCAAGTGATATTTTGTCTTCCTCTGCTTGTCACAGCCAGGAGCCTCTTGCAACTCTGGGAAAGCCAAGTCACTCTCACAGGCTTGGGTATCCTGAAGGTTACCTCCATGGGCCTCAGCTTCCTCATGTGGAGTTCATAGGGTTTTTAAAAATCTATTGATTGAATTATGTAATTATTTTTTAAATTATTAATTTTATGTGTATGAGTGTTATGCCTGCATATACATAAATGCACCTGTGTCATGCAATGCCAGAAGAGGCCAGAAGAGGGTGCCAGTTCCCCTGGAACTGGAGTTACAGATGGTTGTTAGCCACCATGTGGTGCTGTTTCGAACCCCTGTCTTCTGCAAGAACAGTCAGTGCTCTTAACCACTGAGCCATCTCTCCATCCCAAATTATGTAATTATTTAATGACAAGAAAATAACATGTCATGTGGAGCTGGGGAGATGGTTCAGTGCTAAAAGCACTTACTATGTAAGTATGAGGACCTGAATTTGAATTCCCAACACTCATGTAAAAGTCAGGCATGGTCACATGTGCCTGTAATCCCAGCACTGCAGAGCAGAGACAGACAGATCCTAGGAGCTACGAGCCAGCCAGCCTAGCAGAGATGGCAAGCGTTAGGTTCAATGAAAGACCATGTCTCAAGGGAATAAAGCAAAGCATGATGGAGAGAGATACCCATTGCCTTCCTCCACACATGCATGTTCACACACACACACACACACACACACACACAAAATATTTTAAAAAGAAAGAAAACATGTCATAAAACAAAATATAGTTACAACCAACAGAGAGAGGATGTCTTTACTTGTGATTAAGAAATTTAAAAGTACAAACATGAATATGCAAAACTGAAAGCAGTCTGGCATGGTGCCTCACACCTGTGATCTCAGCACTTGGAAGGCTGAGGCAGGAAGACCCAAAGTTCAAAAGTTCAAAGCCAGCCTGTGCTACACTGAGAAACTCTTCGGGGGGGGGGGGTGTGTGTGGAAAGCTTGAAGTAACAATATAATAAATCAATATCAATAGTATTTACTTCAGTTTGATGATAAAATTGTAAAAAACATGAAAGAAAAGGGGAGAATTTTTTTTTAACTTTTTTTTTTTTTGGTCTTTTTGAGAAAGGATCTCCCTGTAGCTGGCCCGGAACTCAATATATAGACCAGGCTGGCCTGGAACTCACAGCGATCTGCCTGCCTCTGCCTCCCAAGTGCTTTAAAAAAACTTTTAATATGTGTGAGTGTATTGCCTGCATTTCTTTAAGTGTGCCCATGTTGTACAGTGCCCACAGAGGCCAGAAGAGGGCATCAGATCCCTTAGAACGAGAGTTACAATTGATTGCTAGCCACCATGTGGATGCTGGGAATTAAACCCAGGTCCTCTGCAAGAGCAGCCAGTGCTCTCTCTAGCCTCATTCTTTCATTTGCATGTTTTTGAAATGTGACTATTTAACAACCCAACAAAAGGTACTAGGAGGAGTTATTAAATGTTGGGAGTTAGGAAATCTAAGAAGCTGAGCCTTTCCTGGCAGTCCCATGCTTCATGCTGCTGTGCATGGATGGTATGAACACCTACCAAGTCTGAGGGTTATTCTGGTTGCTTGATCTCTAGAACTAGCCACTCTTCCCAACCTGCCATGAGAGTTCCACACCTAAAACATGGACATGCCTTACCTGCATCCTGAGCTCAGGTGATACCATCCTCCTCTACCCGGAACCTTAGAGACCCACTGAATCATAAGAAACAGCAAAGTCAGAACCTTCCTTTTTTCCAGTCCAGTTCATCAGGTATCCATGGCTCCAATTCTGAGTCATCCACCTGCCACTGATCTGGCTGGCTGTTGTTCTAGAGAAAGGAGGGTAGTAAGGTAATTTCTTGAGGTCTGAGGAGTCTGTCTCCAAAGCCTAAAGTTATGAGATTAAGTAGAAAAGCTCTATTTTTTTCATCAACTTAACTGAATTAACTTACTAGTTACTTGGCAAATTAGTCCCCAGAAATCCCTCCCTGTGTATACAGAGACCCTCCCTTCTGGTCTGTCTCAGCTAACTATTCGAGCTGATCAACACATGAAGTGATGATGCAGTCCCAGTGCATGTTGGCTACAAAACATACAGAAAATGCAGGATTTCCTGATGGCCCCAAACCCTGATGTTGGGGAAATTCCTGAGTTCTTGGTAAAGGATGCTGCAGTTCACGGCTCACAACTGTGAAGAAATCCGAAGGATGTAGAGCAGCCCTTAGGAAAATAGATAAGGCCCTCAGCATTTTTTTTTTAGACAAGCTCTCATTATGTAGCACTGACTGACCTGGAACTCTCTATGTAGACCAGGCTGGCCTAGATTCACTGCTTCTCTTGTCAGATTTTCATTAAAGGTGTGTGCCACCATGCCTGGGTTAAGACCCTCAGCATTTCACAGATTTCCCACCTTATGAACAGGAGTGAAAAATCAAATACAAAGAAACATACGTCATTCATTGGAAAAATCACATCAATAGAAATTAGTGGTTGACTATTCATTTTAGCAGGACTAGAATGTTGTTATGGTTTTATTAAGAAATAGAAAAGAATCGTATCAGTGAAGTGTTATTTTTTTATTACCAGCCCTCTACATTTATTTATTTATTTATTTATTTATTTATTTAGTGTATGTGTGTCTATGTGAGTGTATGTCATGTGAATACAGTGCCCACAGAAGCCAGAAGAGGGTATCGGATCCCCTGGAGCTGGAGTTACAGGCAGTCATGAGACCCCTGTTGTCAATGCTAGGAACTAAACTCAGGTCCTTTGCAAGAGCTAAATGTGCTCTTAACCACCGAGGTATCTCTTGTCAGATTTTCATAGCATCACAGTGCTTGTGTTTGGTATCTTTATTTTACTTAATAATGGCCGAAAGTTCAAAAGTACTGAGTCCTTCCATGCAGATATGACAAAGAAAAGCTAAAATGTGTTTCCTTAAGTGAAAAAGTGAATGTTCTGACTAGAGGAAAGAAAAATCTCCTATGCCAAGGTTAAGATCCATAGAAAGATGTTATTGTTAATCTCTGTTATTTTATTAATTAAAGCTTTTTTTTTTTGCATGCATGCATAGGGAAAAAAGCATGTATACACAGAATTCAAGAGTATCCATGGTTTCAGGCATCCAAAGGTCGGGGTTCCCCGTGAATATGTTACACTGATGTATCCACCAGGTTCCCGCCACCACTGACCAAATAAACTCTGGTTGCTGTTGTTGTTGCCACCATTTACCACTGACAGCTTTTCCCTGAGATATGAGTAAAACAGTCTGTTCATTGAACACATAGCCTGCTCAAATGCAAAAGACACAGTAATAGAGAATTGAATCTCATGAGCTAGGTTGTAATCAGAGCCCAGGGCAGTTGTCAGCTAGTCCCGTGCCTGCCTCTAGCTGCAAGGGAGACCATGAAAACAGACCCGAGTCCTTTCAGCTTCTCTACCAAGAGTGGGCCTTGTTTCTGACTAAGAATCACAAGGTGGGATTTTTCTTTCCCAGGACAGGGTTAATTAGTACCTCATCTCTAACAAAAGAAAATGTTTTCTTTTTTTTCTTTTTTGGTGTGTAATTCTGTGTATAAGTATAGTTGGGGTGTGTGTATATGTATGTGAGTGAGTCTGTGTGATATATGCACATGTGTATTGAGGGGTGCACACATCTATGAGTGCACGCAGAAGCCAGAGAAGGGCATCTGGTGATCTGATCCATTACCCTCTCTTAGTCCCTTGAGACAGGAGCTGTAAGTGAGCCTAGAACTAGCCGGGGAACCAGAAAGTCCCAATGATCCTCCTGTCCCTACTGGGATTACAGGTGTATGTGTGGCCAGTCCTCGCTTTTTTCATGGATGCTGGGCAGTATATACTCTTACCTACTGAGCCTGGCCCCCACAATGTTTGTTTATTATCTAATCTTATACTACAAGACCCATTGTGTTTGCCCCATTTCATAGATGCAGAAACTGAGACTCACAAAGTCACCACACATATCTCCTGGGTACAGAGCTATTAGGTACAAAATCAATGTCTGACTCCAGAGCCTGCTGCTTTCTGTCACTCAGAGCCACCTCCTGAAAGACTTCCTGTGGCCTCCTTGAGCCTGATTATGAGTCATTCCTTCCACTAGCTTGATGGCACATTTCTGCACAAAAAGTGTCATCTTCTGGGTAGCTCCCTTCCCTGTTCTTCAGTGTGGGCCACGTCATATGGTTAGTTACCCTGGCCCATGGCCCCTGCTGAGGCAGGGACAATGAATTATACCCCAGCAGTGTCCCACTGTTCCTGTGTGTTTATCAGCAATACTGTGCCATTTGTTGGTTAACTCACTTTGACCAAATAGACACAGTCTTCTAAAATTCTCTCTCCTGAACAATCTCTGGGACTTCGTTTCTATTTATTAATTATTATGTTGCAGTTTATTATTATGTTTCAGTACTAGGGAATGAACCCAGGGCCTCTTGCATGCTAGGCTAGTGCTCTACCACTGAGCTGTCTCCCCAGTCTCTTTTTACCTTTTATTTTGGGACAGGATCTCATTCTGTAGCCCAGGTTAGCCTTTCACTCTATCACTGAGATGTACATTGAACTTGTGACTCACCTTTCTCAGCCTTCCAGCCTGCTGGGATTACTGGCCTGCACCACCAGGCCTGATGCTCCCTGTGACTTTAAATTACTCTACTTACTATCTTACCACTGCCTTCTTTTCTCCAGTTTATTAACTGGAAAAATGGTGATAAGGCAATGATGTTCTCCACCGTGGGTGAGACTACATCTATTCAAATATAAGAAAATATAAGGAACTGAAGTTCAAGCTAAGCATGGTAGCCCAGGCTTGTGGTCCCAGCACTTGGGAGGTAGAGGCAGAAGATTCAAGGCCAGATTCAGCTGCATCGAGAGTTCAAGGCCAACCTGAGCTGCATGAGAACTTGTCTCCAAAAACAAAAGAAGTGAAATTCAAGAATATAGCTTTTCCTTATAACTTGATCTTTAACACATAAATAGGTAGGGCTTAAGAATCAGTCATCCTGATAGTTTTTTTTTCTGGGGAGTGTGACTTTTTTTTTTTTTAATTGAAACAATGATGTATAAGGCTCTCTTGTGGGCCCACCTGCAGCCAGTAGGTTCATCCACATTAATTTCACAGTGCTGTGCACAGCCCTGACCAAGAGGGGGCATGCCTGTGGCATTGCACTGGGCTTTGAAGTCTCCATTTGGTGAGCTTAGATTGTGAACTTTAAAAAACATCTTTGTCTCTCAGCTGTTGGTCAGGTTATTTGAGTTCCAAACAAAACTACAACGAAAGAGTCTCCACCCACATGACCATCATAAGCGTTACTATTACCCTGTTTCTGGTCTGGTTCAGGCTCTGCCTGGGATGGGGCTATTAATGTCATTATATGTAATGATACTGAACAGACATGAAAATGAAGGCACTAATAGCTTCTCAGGAGACACCTGCAGCAGTGAATTGCCAGCTGCCAGGCAGGTGTAGTAGCTTGGCCCATGTCATCCCTCCTCTTTTGAAACTCAAGAAAGAAACCCCACTTTGTCCTCAGCTCTTAGGGAACAAGTGTCCTGGATGGGAACAGGAGCCCTCTGGGGAAATATAAATAATAAGCTGATGGAAGGGATTTGAATGAGGAGAATGGCTATGAGCTCAACTCTTACAGAGCTTGTGTGTCCGTCCTCTGTAAGGATGTGGCTCCTGAGGCATGGCACAGCCTTCCTCCTACCCTCACAACTCTTTGTTTTCAGTACTGGAGATGGAACCCCAAACCTGGCATGTGCTCTACCACTAAGCTACATCTCTGGCCCCAAATATCAGTCTCAAAAGTGGTTGTATTTGAGCACTTTCCTTGGACTCATTGAATAACGGGAGAGTGAATATAAGCATCCTCTGTGTGATGGGTCAGTGCGACCTTGTGTCCTACAGTACCTCTGCTATTGTCACACCTTGCTGAGAAGCTCCTCAGCTCACCAACCTTGGGCAAGTTTTGTGACTCGTGAGCATCTGTGCATCACTTGTAACATGGAGATGATCCTCTCACGTGACACTGTGAGGCTGTAGTGAGGTGCTCTGTCTCATTTAGCATCATACAATGACAAATGTACACACAAAACTAACATGCCATGCCTAGCGCATGCTCAGTGAATGGTCACTTCGAAAGAAAAGAAGTTAACTGAGTTATGAGAAGAAGACAAAAAAGGAAGTTCACAGCAAATTCACAGCAAGGCCCGGACCAGGAAACTCCATGTTTGCACAAGGAGGACAGGATCAAGTGGGAGGGGGAAAAGGTGATCTTCGCCTCCTGCTGTAACCAAACACATTGTTACCATGCCTGACTTCTTCCCTGGTTTCTCTCTTGCAGTTGAATCGGAGTGACAGTGACAGTTCCACTTTGTCCAAGAAGCCACCTTTTGTTCGAAATTCCCTAGAGCGACGCAGTGTCCGGATGAAGCGGGTCAGAGTTACCTCGAAGTTCTTTGTGTGTCTGCTTCCTCATTTCTGAAGGCCTATGGCCTGCACATAGGTGCCCTTCCTTGTATCTGGCTGTTTCTCCTCAGCCACTGGTTTGAAGAACATTGCTCTTATAAGGTAGTGGTATTTACAAACAGAAGCTTGTGGACTCTAGGGTCTGTGGAGACACAGGGAAAGAGCCCACAGGGAAAAATAACCTATGGAGGTGAGATCAGGAAAGAGCACACTTGGTCCTGTCCTCCTGGGTGGAAATCAGTCCAGAAGCCAGGCACGGTGGAGCTGTTGGCAAAATTCATTTCCTTGTGTTCTGGTGGCTCAGCTGGTTACTCTGTTTTGCTTTGTTTAGAAAGGTTCTTGCCACATGATCCATGCCAGCCTCAAACTCACAGCAATCCTGCTGCCTCAGCCTCCCCCCTGATAGGGTTACAGGCATGCTCCACCATGCCTGGCTGTAGTTCTTTTTTTTTTTTTTTTATTTAATAACCACATACTTAGAAGAAGCATTTCATTACAACAGCATTGACATATTCAATAACAATTTTCTGAGCTAAGATGCATCTCTTTCAAAATTGGCTGTAAATTTTTAGGTTTACAGTTGAATTATTACAGTTATACAGTATTGTACTCAGTATAAGACATAAAATTAAGACCTTATAAGACATAAAATTAAATGAGGTTTTAACCTTTAAAAAAGATCTCCATTTCATTATTAAAATACACAGTTTCATACAGAAAAATTAATTTTTAATGCAGTTGACATTAAGATGTTTGTACAAGCATTTCTAGTCTCTATATATCTGATTATTACTAGTCACAGTTGGTTACTTTTGGAGCTCCTTGGCATCTGAGCATGAATATAAAGTCGTCAGGTAGATTTCAATGGTAATGTTTTTCACATCTACTAATTATTAAGGAGCAAATTTTTATGCTTTGAAGAATTTTTTTAATCATTTTTTAATTGAAATGCTTCTTCTAATCATGAAATGTAGTTCTTTTTTAATGGGTATCAACAGACTTAATGATGGTATTAATTCCAATTTTTAGGTACAGATAATAGACCCCAACTCTTATGCAACTTAAAAATCCGAGAAAAAAAGCCAGGTGTGGTAGCACACACCTTTAATCCCAGCACTGAGGAGGCAAAGGCAGATGGATCTCTGGATTGAGGCCACTTAGTCTATAAAGCAAGTTCCAGGCCAATTGTGGCTACAGGGAGACCCTGACCTGCCTCAAAAAAAAAAAAAAAAAAAAAAAAAATCCAAGAAAGAATTTGTTATCTCATTTAATGTAATTGAAAACTTCAAGCTAATAGTGTTAGATTTCTGTCACTGGTACAATTAAATGAAGGAAAGAGACAAGAGGTTCACAAGGCCTACTTGGGCAGCTAGGTGAGACCCTGTGTCAAAATGAAAAATGGAGACAGGTCCGGGACATAGCTCAGTGGACCATTTGCCTAGCCTGTGTGAGGCTCTAGGTTCAGTCCCCAGTTTACTCTGCCTCCATTTTTCAGAAGCTTTGCACTGTTTTACATCATGACAAAGCAAGTTACAGAAAAGGCTGCTCACCTCAGGGAGGCTGCAAACCAAAGGAAAATAAAGGAAAAGCGCCCAGGTCCCAATGTGCCTTTCAGGGACCTGCCCCCCCCCCCCCCCCCCCCCGAAGCCTGACATGCTTCTACTCAGCCCCTCCTCCTAAGCACCATGGCTTTGACCAAGCCTTTAGCATGTGGGCCTCTTCAGGGCTTTTAGATCTAACCATAACTAGAGATCAATGAGAGAGTGATTGACTGCATAATAGTGTGCACAGGACCCTGGGTTTAAACCCAGTGCTGTAAGACAAAACGACAAAACATAAAGAACCCACAGACTACCCTTCAGGCATAGATTGATCCAACACCTGAAACAGAGTCAGCAGGCTTCATGCCCCTCTCATGGCTCCTCCTGCCAGAGCTGAATTCTTAAGCTGGGTCACCCTATATAATGATAAAGATGGCTGTATTTATATCAGTTTCAGGTTTATATCTTTTTGTTAGTTTGCAGTTCTAGGTATTAAACCTAGAGCCTCATGCCTGCTTGGCAAGCCCTCTACTGCCAAGCTGTAGCCCCACCCCAGGTTTCCATCTTGCTGCTTTAACACCCTCTGTGTAGACGTACCACCTTCTCCCCCCCCCGCCCCCGCTCTGCCCCCCAGAGTAGTTGAGCCAAGTGCCATAACTGAAAAGTATTATCTGGACTTCAGATACCATACTCAGCCCCAAACCAGTCACTGAGAAGCTATGATTGGCCAGGTATAGGCCACATTCCTAACTGATGCTCCACATAAGCCATGTAGATGGAGCATAGTGGAGGAGTGGATCCCCCAAGGGGAGGCAAAGGCACTAGAAGATGAATGCTGGACAGGCCAAACTGACTGGTGGCCATTACAATTCCCCAGTTAAGCACATGTGACGTCCCTTCTGGGGGTGGTATGCACTGAGAGAAAAACTGCAAGACACAGGAAAGCTCCAGACACCTCTTCACAGAACACAGATGTCAATAGCACTGTGCTGGAGTCTCAGCTTTCCCACTTCTACTCCACCCACTTTAACCTGTGAATCTCATTTATACATATAGTCACAGCTGAGCCCTTATAGGGCTGCTGTGAAAATGAGATGGGATAATGGGAACAGATCATCTTGTACAAGTAGACACATGCTGTGTGACTGTGAATCAAGAATGTGTTTGGGAAAGGGAGGGTTCCTGAAGATAAAGGAAGGCAGGTCATTAGGGTTCAGAGGACAAGGCTGTGTGGGCTTTCAGGGCTGAGCCCTCTGGTCAGCATGAACACCATCTCCACCACTGCAGCCTTCATCCGTCAAGTCCCTGCGCACAGAGCGCCTGATCCGCACGTCGCTGGACCTGGAATTAGACCTGCAGGCAACGAGGACCTGGCACACCCAGCTGACTCAGGAGATCTCAGTGCTGAAGCAGTTGAAGGAGCAATTGGAGCAAGCCAAGAGCCATGGGGAGAAGGAGCTGCCCCCATGGTTGCGAGAGGATGAGCGCTTCCGCCTGCTGCTGAGGATGCTGGAGAAGAAGGTCAGTGCTGGCTGACTGCTTTTAAGCATTCATCATCCCACTGCAGGTCCTGTGAAGGGGTAAAGGTTCCCCACTGCCATCTACACAGGGACCCAGATGTGCTCTGTCTACACTGAACATGGCTCCATGGACTTTTTCTGCATTGGTGTTTTTGTGTGAATGCTTATGATTCAGTCTTTCACCAGCCGTGTGGGCATTATCACACATAGTGGGTACCTTATCCAGGTGGGCCATGTACTTTACAAAGGCCAGAATCCTGCCAGTGTCTTCCCAGGCAAGAGATAAGCACTGTCAACAAGAGCTGTGCACCCAGGAACTGTTCTGGAGTGCATGTCCTGCTACAGTGATTATGAGGGGACTTCAAGTTGATCATGGAGGAAGATAAAACTACCAAATGACAATACCACACAGTTTTATCTGTGTGCTGCTTGACTGGTTAACTTGCAGGAGTCCCTCCCAGCTTGAGACCTTCCGAAGGAGGGGAGCTAAAAGGGCTCCAAGGGGACCAGGGCTGGGAAAGTGTCTTACACATCCAGGTAATGTCACCCAAGTGGCATAGTGAGAAGCCCATGCTTGAAAGAACTCCAAAGTGCAGCAGCCTCTGAGGATGTCTCAGAGCCCCAGGGCTAGATCATCTGTGACTACCAAATGTTGGGTACAGTTTGACTGAGCATACAAAGCAGGAAGGTTCTAAATGGTTAAAGGGTTGCCATGTGACCTATATTTAAAATACTTGAATGAGTGAAAAACCTGTTTGGTACCAGCAGACTTCTTAGCCAACAGATCCCAGACTACCAAGAAGAAATAATACAGCACCAATAGATGAGGGCCATGTTTTACTCATAGTAAGGAGCAAACAGGCAACTCCCTGTTCAGCACCTATGGCAAGAAAGACCTTTGCCGGCTCCCTCTTCATTCAGTTGACAGTGCCTTACAGAGGGTGGCTGCCTCGATTGTCCCAAGCATCATAAGCTGAACTCTTGGCACTGAATGCAGGTGGTAATATCTTAGATGAGGAAAGCAGTCAGGACTTCCTAAGCCTCGAGAGTATGAGCGCTTCAAACTGCCTGGCAAATAAGAAACTCCCATTGCTTTCTAATGTGTTACTATTACCCTGTGCATTTATAAGTAGGGCAGTAATAAGAACACACAGGGAAAATCAGAACACTGAATGTTAGAAGGATAAGATATATCACAAACCCAAAGTAAACTTATCATAGTTGTCTGATCTAATTGTCTTTGAGTTTCCTGGCAGTCCAGGCAAAACAGAGATCAGAAAAGAAGGGCAATAATGTAAATTTAAAAAAAAGAAATAGAAACCACAGCCAGGCACAATGGCTCCACCTATAATCCATGCACACAGGAGGCTGAGGTAGAAGAATTACCAGAGTTTGATGCCTGTCTGGACCTGGGCCATCTAGTGAGTTCTAGTCCAGCCTAAGCTAGAGTGAAACCTTGTCTGAAGAAAAAAGGAGAAAAAAAGGTGGGAGGTGGGGGCAACCCAAACCCAGAGTCTCAGTTTCCTGGTCTATAAGCCTGAGGTAACTGTAACATCTAGCCTCCCAGGTGGCCTGCGGAGTAGGTGAGGTAGCACACTTCTTACCAGGCTGCCCTCCTCTCATGTCCAGCAGATTCACACAGGTCTTCTCTTCCCTGGTGGCATACTCAGGCCTTCCTGGTAGATGGTGTGAGCCCAGCCCGTTGTCACTCTGCATAAAGCAGATCCCCCTGTGCAACAGGAAGAATAAGGGCCTTACCTCCCTGGGCGCTCTGCTGCTGATAGCGAGTCCTACAGCCCAAGGACGCTTTCCCATGTCAAAGCTCTGTTTGTGTTGCCTCACAGGTGGATCGTACAGAGCACAAGAGTGAGCTGCAGGCAGACAAGATGATGAGGGCTGCCGCCAAGGATGTGCACAGGCTTCGAGGCCAAAGCTGCAAGGAACCTCCAGAAGTGCAGTCTTTCAGGTACGTCGAAGACCCCCGCCAGCTGCCTTCCACTACACAGCCCGCCAGCCCGCCCAGCCCCCATCACTTCTGCTGGCCTTGCTGGTCCCAGGCCCTGCCACCATTACCAGCAGAGCTGTAGCCTGCACTGAACAGATGCTCATCCTCTACCAAGCTGCCCCGATACAATTCGAGCACTGTGGTGCTTCTGTCATTATCAGTCCCGACACAGCTCAGCCCAATTTGTGAGATCCTATTGTTTAATGAATGAACCACCTGCTCCAACCTTCCCTCCTAGGCTTTCCATTTCTGGTAATTGCAGAGGCCTGGCTGATGATAAATAAAGAGGGGGTGGGAGATGCTCACTTAGCCTCCCTGGCTCTGCCTGATGGAATCTCAGAGAGCTGTGTGCTTTCCTTGCTGGGCCTGTGCATGTCAGAGAAGATCACAAATGCCATTTGGCCTTTAATGCCACCCACCACAAAGGAATTTAGACTTTTGATGCTTCCAGACATGCATTTGTGTATGTAATAAAGACGATCCTTTTAAATCCAGGGTATGGTGGAGCATGCTTGCAGGAAGATCAGAATTTCAAGGTCATCCTCTACTACATTGTGAGTTTGAGGCTAGCCTGGGCTTCATGAGACCTTGTCTCCAAACCCCTCCAAACAAACAGAAAACTCCTATGTCCCTATATATTGTATACATACATATATCCACATATGTGTGTATATACCTATATATACACCACACACACAGATATATACCTACATTTTGTGTGTGTGTATGTGTGTGTTTGTCTATGTCTTCTGTGTTCCTGCAGGGGACATTTGGCAGTGTCCATTCCTTTTTTTGTTTTTTGTTTTATTTTATTACTTTTATTTTATGTGTATGCGTGTATTGCCTGCATGTAGGTAAGTGTACCCGTGTTGTGCAATGCCCACGGAGGACAGAAGAGACTGTTGGATCCCCTGGAACTGGAGTTACAGACATTTGTTAGCTGCCATGTGGGTGCTGGAATTCGAACCTGGGTCTTCCGCAAGAACAGCCAGTGTTCTTTACCACTGAGCCATCTCTCCAGCCCCCCTTTTTTGGTTTTTAAGATGGATCTTTCTATGTTGCTAAGGCAGGTCTCAAAATTGTGGATGCAAGTGATCTTTTCCTTCATTGTTCTAGTCTTGTTTTCTGTTGTTATCACATAAAACATTTAGACCCAAAGCAACTTGGAGCAGAAAAAAACAGTTGTTTCCCTTATACTCTCAGGTCACAAACCAGCATCCAGGGAAGCCAAAGGAGGAACTCAAGGCAGGAACCCACAGGCAAGAATCCAGAGTAGAGCCCATGGGGAGCACTGCCTAGACTTGCACTCAGCTAGCTTTCTTTTTTTTGAGACAGGGTCTCCCTGTAGCCCTAGTTGGCCTAGAACTCACTATGTAGACCACACTGGCCTTGAGCTCACAAGAGATCTACCTGCCTCTGCCTCTTGAGTGCTGGGATTAAAGGTGTGTGCCACCACGCTTCAACTAGCTTTGTTATATAGCCTGATGAGGGATGGTACCACCCGCAGAAGGCTGGACCCTCTTACATCAATTAGCAGTCAAGATCATGCTCCACAGACATGCCCACACACAAAACTGTCAAGGAAGTTCTTCAGTTGAGGTTTCCCATGTGACTCTAGGTTGTATCGAGTTGTTAATAAAAACTAAGCAGCATACTCATCCTCCCAAGCAGCTGGGACTGAAGGCATGCACCACCATGCTTACTGTCCGTATATTTCAGATTTCTCACAATTCAAGCATGCTACCAGTATCAAATAGAGGCCAGGGCTATGGCTAAGCATCGTACGTGCATAGCCAATAATCCTGCCCAGGAATTGAAGTATAGCTCAGTGGAAGAGTACTTGGACCCTCTGAAGCCCAGGATTCCATTCCTAGCACGAGAACCAAAAGAGTTATCTGTCCAAATGTATTTGGTTGAGGTTGAAGCCCCTGTTCTCTGTTACAGGGAGAAAATGGCATTTTTCACCCGGCCTCGGATGAACATCCCAGCTCTCTCTGCAGATGATGTATAATCACCAGAAAAGTATTTCCTTTGTTCCACGGACCATGCTGTGAAGGTTGACTGTGGCTAAAGTTATTTCTGTGGTGTTATATGAAGGTACTAAGTCAAGTCCTGTAGCACTCTTGTTGGTTTGAAGAACAGATTTTTTTTTTAGTTCAGGTTTTCTTATTTAAAAAACAAAACAACAACAACAAAAACCCCAACCAAACGAAAACTACACACACACATACACACAAAAAAAGAAAACCAGCATTAAAATGACAAGATTGTATAGTTTGTATATTTAGGAATGTATTTTTGGGAAAGAAAATTTAAATGAACTAAAGCAGTGTTAAGTTGCTGCTGCTCTTAAAATTGTCTAGATTTTTCTTTTTGTACAGCAGCATCTTTTAGAGGTTTTCCTGCAATAAGAAATTGTGTTTGGGGCACGCTAATTCTAAAAGGACCGTCCTAAAGATGGCACAGCACAGTTAACCTGCCCTAGTTAACATATTTTGTACAATATTAAAAAGAAGACTGTACAGAAACTATGGAGAGTCCCAAGGTTGTCCACAAATCTTCATGAGTTGTGGTGTGTGTTTATGTGGCCGACTGATCTGAAGCAGGCAGCATGGAGCTGGCTGAGCAGGTTAGCCTGGGCTGCAGACAGGCCACACTGGTCTCAGATGCCCAGTGAAGCCGCTGACAGAGTGAGGGAGGGCTGCGGAGAACTGCATTTGGTTTTATCTCTATCAATAAAGTGGCCTTTTGAAAAAGAGTTTCCCGTCATTCTTTTTCCCACTCACCATTCGCTGCTAGGTTTCTCTGATTTCTGGTTCTCGCCTGGGAAATGGGTTTTTGTTTTTCTTTTGCTTGTTCCACTCATTTGCTTACTAGATTAAAATGAGTACTCAGCTATTTGGAAATCTAAGGTGTGGTGGTACATCTCTGTCTTTAAAAAAATCAATTAACGAGGGGCTAGAGAGATGGCTCAGTAGTTAATAGCACTGGCTGCTCTTGCAGAAGACCTGGGTTCAGTTTTCAGCACCCACATAGCAGCTAACACCCATCCATAATTTCAGTTCCAGGGGATCTGATGCCCTCCTCTGACCTCCATGGGCATTGTACAGTGTAGGTGCACTTACATACAGGCAGGCAATACACATAAAATAAAAAATAAGAAACAAAATATTTATTTTAAAAAATAATTAATAGGGGCAGGAGAGATGGCTCAGCAGTTAAGAACACTGGCTGTTCTTGCCGAAGACCCAGGTTCGAATCCCAGCACCCACATGACAGCTAACAACTGTCCATAACTCTAGTTCCAGGGGATCTGATAGCCTCTCTGTCCTCCGTGGGCATTGCACTACACGGGTGCACTTACCTACATGCAGGCAATACACATATACACATAAAATAAAAATAAATATTTTAAAAAACAATTAATGAGACTGAGCAGTTAAGAGCACTTGCTGTTCTTCCAGAGGACAGAAGTTGAGTTCCCAGCACCCACATCAGGCAGTTCACAACCTGTAATTCTAACCTTTGCAGGCACCTACCCTCACATACACATACCCACATAATTTCAAATAATAAAAGTTTTAAAAATTAGTTCTATATTTTAAGAGCTAATACCTACTATAGAAAATGTCAAAGGCTATGCAAGAGCCATTGCAGCACATCTTTCCCCTCACTACAGACCTGGGCACTGTTGGAAAGTTTCTTTTTAGCTGGTTTATCATTATACTACCCTTTATAGTAGGTATTGCTACAATCATCCCTGTTTTATAAATTTGAGTTTTGTTGTTTTGAGATAGGATCTCACTATATAGCCCAGACTGTCCTCAAACTCACTAGATAATTAAGGATGACCTTATTTGTTTGTTTTTAAAGATTTATTTTATTTGTGTGTCTGTGTCTGGATGTGAAGGTAACCATGTCTACAGGTGCCCATGAAGAATGTGTCAGAGCCCCTGGAGCTGGACTTATAAGTAGTTGAAAGCTGCTCAATGTGAGTGCTAGGAACTGAACCCCAGTCCCCTGGAAGAACAGCAAGCACTCTTGACCTCTGAGCCATCTCTCCGTCCCTTTGTTTTGTTTTTAAAGAAAGGGTTTCATATAGCCCAGACTGCCCTTTAACTCACTATATGGCCACAGCTGGTTCCTCTTGCTTCTGCTTCCCAAATGCCATAGGCATGGGTTACCATACCCAGCAAGGATGATCTTGAACTCCTCATGATCCTGCCTCTACCTCCCAAGTGCTGCGACTGCAATGTGCATAGCCACATCCAGCTCAGTCCCTTGCTTTTATGGACACTCCCCAAGCAGAGCATGATAGCTCTTGCTTGCAATCCCAGTACATGCAAGGCCTAGGCAAGAGGTTTGCCCTGAGGTTAAGGTGTGCACAAGGCCGAGACTGCATGAGCTGCCTAAGGCCAGCCAGGGTTACAGAGTAAGATCCTGTCTCAGAAAAATCAATAAACAAGTAAATAAATAAATGTAAAGAGTAAATACTGTCCAGTTTTTCCTCTTTGCCCATACACCCTTTCTCTTATGTATGAATGTATCTGTGAATAAAGTACTACATACAGTTTTTAAATGTACCATCAGAGCTCCGTGGAAACCAATAAAGTGCTTCCCAGACATGCTCACTGTCCCCAGTGCTTGAAAGGCAACAGAAAAAGACATGCTGAGGTCCCCTCTCTACTGTTATAGGCCCACGGTGCTGGGATCCACTCTCTACTATTGTAGGCCCATGGTGCTGGGATCCTCTCCCTACTGTTTTAGGCCCACGGTGCTGGGATCCTCTCTCTACTGTTTTAGGCCCACGGTGCTGGGATCCTCTCTCTACTGTTTTAGGCCCACGGTGCTGGGATCCTCTCTCTACTGTTGTAGGCCCACGGTGCTGGGATCTACTCCCTACTGTTGTAGGCCCACGGT